AAAGTCAAGAACACATTGCACAGAACTTCACGCCACACTCCCATCGAATTGTCTCCAACTATCCAACCTCAACAGACATGCTGTCAGCATTCATCAGCGTCCATCAACAGCTCTTGTTGCCAAGGGTCCATAACGCGAGAACTCTCAGACTTCACATATCCTTGGTGCACCATACCCTCCAACCATCTCCAACCTTTGACTTTGGAACCTGGTTCCTGGGCGGCCCAGGCTGGGCGGCCCTGAGTTGCTAGCTGCAACTTCAAGCCATAAAAATCCACCACGAATCACCGCGACATCTCCCAGCTTTGAGGATAGTCCTATTCGTAGGGGCTGGTCTCACAGCTCTCACGGCCAACATATCGGGCTGAATTGCAATAATCACTTCCCCCGTTCACATTAAACACCCCCTGAATTTTGGCACCCAAAGATGTGTGTTTTATCCCCTGCATCCACCATGGTTTCTGGGGTGTTGAATGTGAATGGGAGATGGAACCTTCATAAACATGATGTAACAAATACATCACATCTAACAATACTAATAACATGTGCAGTAGTAGTATATGATGATTTCCACCCTTGTTACCTTTTGAGTCACTATCTCTACGAGTTCTTACTTTTATTACTACCTGTTATTACCGGAATAAAGTTCCCAACAAGTAGTCATAAAGTTTGTCACTACTAGTGATTATAGTGGTAATATAAAGGTAGTTCATGTAGCTCTACCACTTGTAAAAAAACTCGTGATATCTCTCCATCGCCATCTCCAGGAGCCAAGAGCGGAGCCAGGCGAGCCAAGCTGAATTATGACACGTAACTATCATAAAGAACTATCATAACTGTCATAAAGAACACCAAGAACATAAAAAGCATAAAGAACTATATATCTGGGCAAATTATAATAATTCACTAATCTGAATTTAGGCCATTTGGGGATGATTCCCCCTACTAACCATGATTTCCAGTGAGGTCGTAGTGAGGTCGTTATTTACCGCCAAGCTGCCTTGGAATTCCACCACCAGCTCGTCCAAGGCCTGTCCTAAAATTTACGGATCAATGGATCATCTCAGGCAAGGCTGGAAATTAGAAAATCTCTGGGGAAAATGATATATCATGATAGATAGATAGATATATATATATATATGTATATGTATGTATATAAGATTAAATCATAAGTACATAAATGTATATATATATATATACATAAGATTAAATCATAAGTACATATATATATATATGTACATGTGTGTGTATCATGCAATTGATCTACTTATATCTAACTACTTCTATAATCTTCTATATTTGTTTATCAATAAGGAAATATTTGGAGATATCTAGATCGAGAGATCTAGAAATATCTACGGTAACTGTATTTAAATAATATACGGATTTTTGAATATACGAACTGGTATTTTAGACTACCTCCGGGAAGGTTTTCCTTGGCCTGCCCGGCCATTCAAACATACAGAATCCATCAGAATCCAATTTGTTTACAGATACATTTAAATATACGGATGGAACTGGTGTTTCATACTACCCTCCGCGGCCTCGCGGTCTCGCCCGCCACAAATGCCGTTACCGTAGAAATAATATGGAAATTCCAATGCAGATTTTGCAATGCATTGACCCGCATCCATGTCTGCACCATGATTGAAAAATGGGATGTCAAATTTTGAGAATCTATGAGGGGATGTCGACTCGGGTGTGCATCCTTCTTCACTGTTCACATCCATGTTGATTCGTTTTTACATCCAAATACATCCAATAAACTAACATAGATATGGCATTTGCAAATGGATGAGCATGGTCCATTTACAGATGATTTACCATTTCAAAAGGGTGATTTTACATAGCTATGTAGCAAATTAACGGAGAGCATCATGCTTTATTTCCAATCTGCCTAGTTCCAGCATGCCGCATGCCACATTTTTTAAATCATTCCTGTTGGTACCAACATGGTTTCTTGCTGAGACTACCTAGTGACTAGTGGATGTGGTGTTTCTGCTTCGTGGTTTTAACATCTTTTAACCGCCCTGGGAATTGTAAGGGACCATTATACGCCCCATCTGTTCGGGTGGAACTCCTCCAGCCACCATCCACTGCAAGTTGGCCCCAAATGCATCCGCTGACTCCACCAAGCATCGCACGGATTCGAACTGTGCCTGGCTCACGAGTTCCACGTCACTGGATCGCTTCTCTGCTACACGCTGGCAATTCTCCACGTTTTCCTGGCGTTCACGCTCCTCCTGCGCAGCCATGGGCTGAGAATGGGGAAAGTTCATGAAAGTTCTAATGTCATTGAAAGGTGAAGCTGGTTTAGGATTGACTTGATTGATCTTGATTGACCCAGCATGACCCAGCCAAGTTTGAAGCCAAAAGAAGGTGAATGATGCTGACAAGCTCTAATCCTCACTGACCCATGGAATCGCCAGCACTAGCTCCAGCAAAGTGTGTTTTTCCGGCACCGGCCTGGCATAGTTTGGAATACCGAGTTAGCCAAACCAATCCCTGTGATGTTCCAAACCACCCATCTGTGAACAGCTGCAGGTCCTTCTCCAGTCTTTGGGCAAGCTCTAACCTTTCCCCTCTCTCGTGTTGAAAGTCTGCTTCCAATCTCTTCAGTCCTCAAGTGAAACTGGAAAAATGGGATCCTGACTGGAGGACGGGCACCTCTATGAACAGTCCAAGATTGATATGGATACCCTCTGCTTATTCATTCAATATAGCTATGGCATATGGAAAATGATCCATTTATTTAGATGATGTACCTATTAAAATGGTATGTTGTTTTAAAATGGTGATGTTCCATAGCTATGTTAAACAACCAAAGGGTAATTCATGATAATTCAAGAATCCTGTGGGCATCATGTGTATATTCTCTTGTCCTTCCTGCCTTGAATGTAAAAAAAAAAAACATGTAAAAAAAAATGACACACAGGTGCCTCCAAATGCCACATGTCCTGGCAGAAGCACCAACTGCCATGAAAAACATACAATCCCATCATCCCATCAACAAAATCCGCCAGATTGTCCTCCCAGAATTGGCTTAAGATACAAATTGTGGGAAAACCGAATCTTTGATGGACTTTTGTACCAAGGGTTCCTGCAACTTTTCCTTAAACCAATCTAATGAAACATATTTGGGCACTCCAAAATCCTCGAGCTTCATGGTGAAATCAGCGAAATCCCAAAATGTGCTGCTTTTTTGAAGTTTTTGCTGGCTGAATTTACTCTTTAAAAAATGTTCCATGCCAGTCCACATTTTCTCACCCCAAACCGGGTGTTTACCGAGTCACGCTCGCCCTCATCGTTGCGAATGGCTGAGAGCACCTGCTTCGCTTCCGCCTGCGGGATCCTTGACGAAGCCGCGCAAAAGTAGCGGCGAAGTGGTGCAGTGGATGTTTGCTCAAAGAAACGGCCAATAATCAAAGGTAGGAATGATATGGAATGATGATCATGATGATTATCTAGAGAGATAAATGCACAGTGATAACTACTAGTAGCGGTTGAAGAAAAATGATGATAAGGCTAATAATGATCAGAATAATGCTGATGACAATAGCTATAATGGCGATGAAATACATGCATTACATTACATGACACTACATTAGGTTACATTACTTTACATTACATTACACTACTGTACTGTACAGTACAGTAGGGTCCAGTCCAGTACATTACATTACATACATGTAATATGTATATATAGAGAGAGAGAGAGAGAAAGAGAGATGGATAGATATTGAGAATACACGTGGAATAGTATTGGAACTGTTGGAAGCCTTTTTGTTTCCCCAAGGTATCAACCTCCTACGTGCCCTCCATCCTGACAGAACTTTGGGGACTGTCATGGACTTTCCATTGCCATCATTTCCAGTAACCAGCAAATCTTTCAATGGATTGGTTTAAGGTAGTCTTTTTTAAAGGAACCATGCGCCTTTTTCTTTTCCAAATCCATGGTGCTCCTTCCAAATTTACGGCAACCGTGGACACCCACCATCCACCATAGATGAGGGCGAGTAGCGGCTCTAGCCGTTCGATTTCCGCCACCAAGCGCTGCTTCAATTCCTGACCGGAGTCGTTGGGACTGGGATTCCAGAATGCTGATAGTGAATACCCCAAAAATATCCAAAAATAATGCTTAAAAGTTGCAAAACACAGTGGTTTCCTGCATCTGTAATGTTGGCCCATGCCCCACGTTGTTCTAGAGATTTCGGAGTCAATGGGAAATTCAGGATCCTTATATATATATAGATAGTTGCATTTATTTTTACAGTATTTATTTATTTATCTGTTTATTTGTTTGTTTATTCATTTTTTGGTTTACTTACTTGTTATTCATTTATTTGTTTATTTATTTATTTATTCATTTATTTATTTATATGTATGTATGTATGTATATATATATGTGTGTGTATATATCATATCTGTGTGTGTGGGTTTGGACCAAACATCCACAGGCTGCGGGTCACCTTGGTAGCCACTTGTGGATGTTCATCCCCCAGGGCCCATGTTTTAACGTAGCTATGGCACATCACCATGTTTAATAGGTAAATCATCATAAACCATCTATAAACACTTATAAAATGTTCAATTGTCCATTGTTGTTGGAAAATGTGCAGAGGGTACAGAATGTTGCTTGGTATTAGGAACGTCCCATGCTGGATTTCGACCATCTCCACCAAGTATTCCCATCCCACATGACATGGAATTCCCCCACATGGGCCCCCCAAATGACTAGAGCGACTAGCAAATCAGCAGGCTTGGGGTGCCTTTCATATATTCGAGGGATGGGATCAGTCTAAACATGGTCTTCTTTATCCAAATTTTGTTAATTAATCCCATTTGCATCCCATTATATCCCATTGGCTCCCATTATATCACATTCTATCACATTATAATATCATGTGGGATTGCAAATCATATGGGATATGATATATTGGGATAAATATCATTATCATATATTATAATATCCCATGGATTATCCCCATCATATGGGATAACAATCCCATTACCCTCTGGTAAACTGAAATAGCTATGGAAAATCACCATGTTCAATGGGTAAATCATGGTAAATCCACTATAAATGGATATTTTCAATAGCTATGTTAAATTACCAGAGGGTATCATATCCTAAAATCCCCAATGGTTGGCCGTATCCCCCATGGCCACCAAGTGCTCTAGCGGCCAGGCTTCGTCGTGGCGCGATCCAAGTTCTGCTGTGGCCTCTCGTGCATTGTGATCAATCTGCGCCGCGCGCGCCTGGCCATGGGTGAGGCGAAAGATGTTCCCCTATGCTTGGATGTTCCATCGAGTTTTTCCCATAGTTTTACCTAATTTTTTAAAAAAAAACATCTAGAAAAACTATAGTTACTATCTATATCATTGGAGTTTTCATGTGTTTTTCATGTGTTTTTCATGTTGTAATTACCCCATTCACCAGGGAAATTGGAACCCAGGCCTGGCAGCCATTCAAAGCCTCCTCCAGTTTGGAGGTGATCTCTTTCAGCCCTGCAAAGTCGCCCTGCGTCAACGATGTGTCAATGATTGTCAACGTGTATAATGTGCATATGACTGTATATGTACATATATGATCATATACGCATGTCTTTATATGTGCATATATGATTCATATATATATATATGTAATGTAAATGGTAAATGTAAAAGTAAAAGTAAAAGTAAGGTAATGTTCTGTTCTGTTCTGTTCTGTATGTATGTATTATGTATGAATGTATGTATGTGTATCCGCGTGTTTGCCTGATTTGGCCTCGGTTTTGATCTCAAAAATGTTGAGGTTCTAAAAACTTTCTTATGGCGTGCTCTATCAAGCCCAGCATTTTTCCCAATGCTCTTGCCACTGGATCAACTCGCCAAACCTTGATGTTCTGGATGTCGGGGCAGGTGTCTTTCCTCCAGAGTTCCCACCCATCATCCGTATGTTCATGCGTTTTCAACTCGGGCTTTGCCCACATTTCTTGATACACCCCAAAACCCCCCAGAATTGATCCATGTGTTCTAGGAAATCGAAGGGTGAGCCCGCAGGTTCACAAAGAACAACCTGCAAACAATAGGTGGAACCCACTCAGAAAATGGTTGAAGCATCCTGCGCCTTTCTCGATTACAGCACCTCTCCATGTTTCCAATTTTTGTGCCTAATCTTAACTTAAGGGCCTAAGCTATGCTCCTATCATTTTCAGAGTCAAAACTTAAAATTACGCAGCTAATCCCAAAAACATGTGGCTACGAGTCAAACCCACCACCCTAGGTACCCTAGGTCATAGCTGGCTTATGAAGGTTTATTCCCCCCAAAATGTGGTGACTTCATGGGTTTTGACCCAAAAAAAATGCCAATTTTCCCACAAATCGGATGCTCCTGAGCTCTAACACTTCCCCGCTTTGCTTCTCCGTCTGCAGTTCCACCGCCTTAAGCTGCTCGCGCAGCTCTACCAGCTCCTGACTGCTTTAACCGATAAACATTTGGAAAGTGAATGGGATATTACTGGGAGATATAAAATCAACAATTAACAATATGAATCTTTGGGTGTGTCTGAAAATTGTAGATTAGCCGGCAACAATGCCATATTTTAGTTGGGAAGATGGTGAATCAGCATCGAATTCAAACCCCTATTTGAAAAGGAATGTGTTGTTGAGTCTCTTTTTGTATGTATGTATATATATATATATATATATGTGCGTATATATATATATATATTATAGGTATTATTTATCCCCCTGGACCTGAGGGGGAGGGCGGTGGAGGGGTAGGATTCCTTTTAGTTGTCCCAACCATGCATTTCGGCCACTGCTTTTCATCTGAAACTTGAATCCAAAGCCACGCCAAACCTGTGCCTGCAGAAGCCTATCACTAGAGTGTGGTGAGTCCCGGCTACTTTTCAATAATGTCCTCTCTTCTCCCCTCCATTCCCCTCCAAACCTTCCCAAACAGCACAACTGACGGCCTTGCTTAAAACCAGTGGTTTTAAGGGAGGCGCTGCCCGGAGGTTTGGGAAGGAGAGGCTCAGAGGAGTGGAAGGAGAGGACAAGAGGAAAGGAAAAGGGAGAGATAGTTGAAAATCAGTGAAAATCAACAGGTTGGACCAACCTACCCCCCCAAAAAAAAAAAGAAATCCATAAAGCAATTGCAAAATGAGGGCTAGGGTGATCCTGACGCGACCCCACGCCTTGCTGGTGCGTTCGCTGAAGATCAGCCGCTCATAGTCCGACCACTTCAAGGCGCTTTCCATGTTCCCCAGGCGACCTGGGATTGACATGTGCTCACATGGGATTGTCCAACAATTCAGCATAACTTTGTATAACTCCCGAAATGGCAGTTTAAAATTTTCATAAACGAGAATTGGAAGAAATGATAGTGGGCCACAGGGTCTTGGGATACTCTATTTCCAAACGAACCAGCATGATGTAGACCCCACCCAAAGAGTTCGGCCTGTTGGGTTCATCGTTCTAGTCACGAGCCTGTCCCCTCCTGTAGCCCCGGGTGTGCGAGACGAAAGATGTCAAGAGGGGGATGTTGGGGACTGTAGGCAAAATCACTTCAACCTCAAACCATTTCAAGCCTCCATTTCTGCCATTCCTACCAGTACATGATAATCATGATACATATACAAATCTCCGTGAAATCGCTTCGAAAAGTGATCACTTCAATGCAGCTTGGCCACTATTGAAGGACTCCTTGAAGGCGGACATCACGACCTCATCCTGTTTCACTGCAAAGGCTTCCAAGGACTCAACCTCAGCTGGGAGGCCGTGATTTGATCATATCGTGACATCGTGACATCGTGACAGTCGAAGCACATCGTTCGTGCTCAAAACGCGCCAAATCCGTAATATGTGTTACTTAATGATTGATATCATTGAAATGAGGTAAACTTGGTAAACCCACTCAAAAAAGTCTTCCCAATTTGCTTTATTTTGGGATATGGCTGAGATGGCCCTATGCTTTGGATTCCTCCAAACAACTGCTAATCCTCTCCACGGCACCGATGCTGCGAGCTGCTCCTTGAGCTCGGCTGAAAGCGTCTCCAGGCTCTTCTGGCTCTCACTGTTGCGCTCCGCCATGTCCCCTTGGTCGAACTGCCGTGGAGTGTCACCCTGAAAGATTCGCTAGATGAAACCACCAGGCAAACGAAAGCTGGTGAAATCATCAAAGACATGAACTCTGTTGGTTCTAACATGTTTTAAACAGCAGACCTTGTGGTTAGTTTGGATATTTGAATTGGGGTTTAAGTGGCTAAATTGGTTAAGTCATCACATGTGGCTTTTGACCAGCAGAAATTGATGGATGCGCAGGACCCAGGAATCTCAGGTGGTTGATGACCCACCTAGATAACTGGGACGCACCCGGTTCAGTTCGAAGTAAGAAACCTTTCCGAACCCGAAAGCTTGAAGTGGAAATTCCTAACCCCAAACAACTCACCCTGTGATATGGAAGACGTCTCACTGAGGTTGTTACGAATATCCTTATATATCCTGATATATCCTGATATATTCATAGGGTGCTGGTCAGACCCTCATCTTAAGGGCCTCTGCGCACAGAAACCAAAATCATGCATTGTCAAACCTGTGGATTGCTCACTCCATCTGAATGCACAAAACGCTGTAAATACCTACAAAATCAGGGTGTGACCCCTCTCCTCTTGACCACTCTTAATTGCTCTTTCCTACCTTAAAGAGTGGCTGAGGAAAAACAAGAGCTGGTTAGAGGCAGTTTGTGCTCGAAACAGCTCTTATTTGCTCTTAGCCACTCCTTAAGGTAGCAAAGAGCAATTAAGACTGGTTAAGAGGAGAGGGGTCACACCCTGATTTTGTCGGTATTTACAGTGTTTCGTGCGTTCAAATGGAGTGAGCAATCCACAGGTTTGACAATGCATGATTTTGGTTTCTGTGCGCAGAGGCCCTTAAGATGAGAGGGGTCACACCCAACAGGGTCTGACCAGCACCCTATGATATATTGAGATATATTTATTATTCCACTCTGCTCGAGTCCCGATCTGGACGCCTGCTTGCAGGCACGTCTCAAAAGCTGCTGTAGCGAGACATGCTACCCCACGGTTTTCACTTCATGTCCATTGACATGGCTACTCACCCATGGGAACAAAATTAAACTCTAAAAATCGCCCATGTTCTTCCAGTAATCGCTAGTCATTTCCGTGCCCTTTGCGCCCACCAAATATGGGTCAAATCCCGTGGCCAATGCCTCTAATGCCTGCTGCAAGAGTTCCGGATCCTTCTCATGTCCCTCTCCAGCCAGACCCTGGGCATAACGTAAATGAGCTTCAGCGATCACTTTGCACATCAAGGGAGGGTAAGCCTTCGCCTTGGCCGTACGCCAACCCTTTTGGTTGCTCTCCCTTCCACCAAGCCACTCTGTGGGCTTCCAACCTGGCTGGTAGTGCTTGAAGAGCTCCATGGCAAAATTTTCCAACCTTCCAACGAGCAATGATGTTGGCTTTGTGAATGGCTGGCCTAGCGGGCCCTGGATGAAATCAATCCTTTTGACATCAGCTGCTAGCATGAGCTGACGAATCATGGCTGAATCCCAAATCGTCCAGCGTCCTTCACGGCCTTCCACACCTTTGGGGTGCTCCAACGAAAAGGAAGCACCAAAACAGTAAGCCAAAACAATCAAAGACAACGCTTTCATCATGAGCAATGTTCCAACGAAGCACTGCATAACTTCTTGTAACGTAAGGTCATCCTTGCCCCATGGAAAGTTTGTGTCACGCAGTGGTCTCGGTGCTGGGCCATCGCTCACCTCCAACCATCGTGCCAATGTATATGTCTCGCACGGGGGTGCAGCATGCACCCCCGTGACTTTGCGTGCCATGATAAGGCGACGCCACAAAACATCATCCAGGATGTTGCCAAACCTCTGATCGATGGCAAGATCCACACTGATCGGCTGAATGTTGCCCTGCCACTCCAACCAGCTGGCAATGTCTGAATGTCGGCGATGACCGGAAAAGAGGATCAACACATATTTTTGGCCTGTCGCCATCGGCCTTGGAATCCAATCGAAGGATGGTTGCCATTGTTGCACCTTTTCCAAAAGATCAGCTTCCAAATCTGCTGCTGCCCTGTTGATGCTGCAAACATTCATGTCTCCAACTTTGCGAGATGTCTTGCTCCGACCTCCCTGCCCGGGTGGAAGCAGGCCAAATGCTGACCACTGCCTCAATTCTTCCCTTGATGGCTTGCCAGTCTCATGTGCATCAACATCCCGTTTCTATAAAGTCGAGATCATTTCATGCTCTTCACACGGCCTCCACAAGGAATCAACCTTTGCATCCAAAAGCCCCGTCTGGTGCATTGCAACTCCCTGTTTTCTGTCCAGTTCATCCAAACGATTAGCCTCTGCCACTTCCATAGGAAAAAACCTCCTGCATTGTCCAATCCAGCAATCAGTGGTTCCCATGTGAAGGTGACGCAAAAGTCTGGGCCTTGTGTGGAAAAACCGCTTGCAAATGCGACAACAAGCATCCGTGGCAAAACGCCTCATAGCCATCCTGTAGCCATGCTTGCGCTGCTGATGAACTGCCAAAGCTGCTTGGGAAGCGAAAGTGACATGGCACACTTCACACGCACTGACCTCGCTGTCTCTCTGGTTCAATTCCTCTTCATCTGTTCTTTTCCATCCCATCTCACGCAACATCTGATCTTGTTCCTCCGCATGCGTTTTCACGGTCAGAAAAGCTTTGATCTTGAGCAAATGAGACTTCTGGGCCTTCCGCAGGCCACGCTTCAAAGTGACTGCAAATGGCTGAAAATCTTTCCATGTTGCCACGTCCTCAAGGTGGCTAAGCTCTTCTGGCACCAACATGTTACCGATCTGTCTCCTCATCCAGTTGACTGCTTTCGCAGCACCGTGCAACCACGATTGACCTTGCATGATCTGATGGTTGTGGATAACAGCTCCTATCATGTATTCATCCGCAACATGCATGATGTGGAAAAGCAATCTCAAACGTTGGACATACATCAATTCCATAGGCAATGGTGAATCCATATCTCTTGCCAGCTCATAGATCTGGAGATGCTTCACTTGCCCTTGTTGGTCTCTGGAATGAATCTGCTGATATGTGCGGAAAACACCAGCCTGCCATGCATCGTACTCTCCCTGCGTGAGATCCGTCCAGGTTCCAGCATGCAAGGTAAGCACTGGGATACCGATACTCTTGATCAAAAGCCGCTTCTTCTCCACCTCCAAGCTGGGATTTTTCAGCAGCTTGTTCAAGGGATGCAACTTGGACATGGTACTGGCAGTCCGCACTTTGATCTCTTGCAAACAACTTCCAGTTCTTGTGATGTGTCCACCAAGATGTTTGTAATGCGCGACAATTGGGATCTTGAGACCACCTGTGTGTTCAGACATGATGCACAAACCTTCACTGCTTGTGCGCTCGAAAGCCTGTCTTGCTTTTGTAGCCCCTTCACCATGGAAAGCAAAAATTGCAGCCGTCTTTCCAACTCCACAAGTCAAGACCATTCCATGCTCCAGCATCGTGTCCTGGATAATAGACATCATGTGGGCCGCTTTGTCCACCACTTGGTCAGCAGAAGCACATACTGATACGGCCAAATCATCAACCCACGTCACACATCGTGTGACCCAGATGCCTGACATGTCGTCTTGATAGTGAAGTGGCATGCCAGCTCGACAAGCTCTTTCATGGATTCGCCCCAAAATACGCGACATCACAAGGCTGAAGAGCACATCTGCCCCAGGGTCTCCCGGGCGGGAGCCCGTGGCCGGAGCCTGGATGCTCCTGCCGTCCAGGATAGTGAACCATGTATGTTGGAGGAGAGCCTCCGTGTTGTCAGCTGTCAGTGTTGACTGGGTCGCTTTTCCAAGAATGTTCTCATGCTTGACATTAGCTTGGAACTGCTCCCATGCTGAGAGGGGTAAACCCATGCGATCGAAAACATGCCTGATTTGCACATCGTTTCCGCACCCAGTCAACATCTCTTTGACCACAGAGTAAAAGGCAGAGCGTATGTCAATGAAGAGGAGTGCATGGGATTCTTTCTGTCGTCGAGCTTGCGCTTGCCACATTTGAACTTGAAGGTGCAAGCTCTCTATTGACAACCCAGAACGCCCTCCCCACTGCATTGGGCGTGCAACACGTGTCAGGCCCTGCACCATAATGTGCCTCCATGCCTTTGATATTACTCTGGCTACCACAGGTTCGAGCAAAATCGCCCTGTAGCCTTTCATGTCATGAGCACTGCCCTTACCTTTAAGTAAAGGCAGGAGCCAGCCGCCTGTGAGCTCCGGCACACCTTGGCATCGCAGACCCATTTTCAAGACCAACGGGTAGATCCTCTTTGCTGCTGTAGCACAATCGCCCTTGAAGAGCTCGGCTCCCAGTCCGTCAAGGCCTGCTGCTTTGACCAGGTTCAACTGTCTCAGAGCCTTCTCCACGTCCATCAACGTTGGCACTTCCAAGAGCTGCTCAGCAGTCCGAGGTTCACAAGTGGGCTTGGATTTGGTCAAAAGATCATCGAATGCCACAGTCTCAGCGTTTTCGATGTCAGCAAACTGCTGTTGCCACGCTTCTGCAATGTCGACCCTGGAAAACTTCCATTGACCATCCAAACTTCGATAGCCAGGAAGAGGCTTGGTAAGTTTCCCAGCATGCTTTGCGATCATCTTCTTCGGCTGCAAGATGCTAAACAAATCTCCATTGCTTGCATGGTTTGTTTGCTGAATTTTTTGGTCCAATTGCTCCTTGATCCACCTCCTCCAATCAGACTTTTTGCATGACCTGAAACGGGCATCAATGTTGATCCTGGCTTCCAACGTTACTGCTTCTTGCTGACGCAACAACGCAAGGTCCCAGTCCACCAATTTGTTTTGCTCCACATGGTCATGTTTGCCTTTCCACGCAACAAAACATTGCTTCAGCACATGCACGTTGATCTCTCTCTGGATCGTTCGATGTTGCTGGCGTAGATCTTTGCGGTCACAAAGTAGATTCCATGTGTTCTCACTGAAGTACAGCTGCCTTGGCTTCCTCTTCTTTTTGGGGAAATGTTTTGCAGCTCCTTCCTGCATGTGTCGCCTGATGTTTGCCCAGTGAGCATTGACATCCTGAGACCATGGCTGTTCTGGCAACATGCTCATCAACTGGACACTTCCCATCTTGCACCACTCTCTTGCAGCATCACGGTCGTAAAAATTTCTTCGGAGAAACCTGGCGTCTCCTTTAGGCGACCACTGCATTCCAACTTCTAACATCAAGGGTCTATGCTCCCCATCTCCATTGAGAACATCGATCTCTCTGTCCACATAAGATCGAATGATACCAGATTGAGAGTCTTTGGAGATCAAAATGAAATCGATTCGACTGCTGTGTCCCAACGGGGACATAAAGGTGGCAGAAGGACCATCATGAAAATGCGCATATGTGGATGGGATCATGAGATCCCATCGGTCAACAAATTGCCTCAACCTGCTACCAGCTTCATCTTCAACATCCCAAGCATGGTCATCGCACCCTGCACTGGTGATACTTCCAACTCTGGCATTGAAATCACCCAAACAGATTGCCGGCACATTGCTGTCACGTCGCATCATGACATCATTCAAATTATCCCACCATTTTGACACTTCATCAATTCCTCGTCCCTGTTGCGGGGCATAAAGCACAATCACATCAAAGACAACTGCACCAAGACTGCATCGCACTGCCAAAATTCGAGTGTCGGAGTACCATGTACAGAGATCCTTGTCCGCAACAACCTTCACCCCAAACATGCGTCCAAGCTCTTCAGCATTGAGCCAAAGTTCAACTCCTGCTTGTCCCTGCACACCAGCCGAAATCAGTCGTATGAAAGGCCCCATGCTCACGCATGAGGAAACACGTGCCCTGGATTCTTGTACACCAATGATGTGGATACCATTGTTCGCAAATTGGTGTAAGAGCTCGTTCACTTTCCAACTGACACTGCTGCCATCTCCACTACCATATTCCAAGGTCCTCACATTGACTGTAGCGAAAGTCAACCTGGCCACATGTTGACTTGTAATGCTCTCATCAATGGGAGGCCGTAGGGTAGAGTCAACACAGCCCTGATCTGCATCCGGCTTGGCATTCTGCAGAATTGTGCGTAAATCCGGGAGTTCCTCACTAGGGGAGATCTCCAGCCAAGCCCACGCTGCCAGCTCATGCTGCAATAGATCCCCTGAACGAAACTCAAATGCTAAGGGGGGTTTCCATCCTCGCCACACTGCTTTTGCTATGCTGTCTGACATCTCATTCCAAGGCTGCCCTTGATGTGCACGAACATGTACACCTTGAAAAGCACCTCCAAACCTCTGAGTTCTTTGCTCAAGGATGGTCATCATGATTCTGGCATGAGCTTGGCGTTGTGATGTGCCATCTTTTTGCATAGGGATGTTGGAAATCCCCACTGCACCAAAGCCAACAGCCAAAGCATCAAAATGGCAGTGAACAAAACACGCTTCCTGCGCACACAATCCCAGCGCAACTTCTGCCATTGCGATGATCGCTGTGGCCTCCGCATCCATTGCCGATGAATTGCATGGGCCAAGATCATCCTGCACAAAACCAGCTGCAAAACCCACACGATGAAATTGGTTCCGCCCTTCAAGCTGCGATTGCTGCAGGATTGTGATTGCCCATGTGGCCACATCATTTTTGCTAGAACCATCTGTGTAGACATGAAAGACTGGTTGCTCCCCTGGACAGTCATCTGTAATTTTGCAAGCTTCCCTTGCGAAAGGGTGAAGATCAGGAATCAGCATAAAGTCATAGTTGATACATTCATACCCACGACTCATCACGAAGCGCAAGTGTTGCTGAATCTCACTGATACTATCCATGTCATGGTGGAATTGGGGACCCTCACCAGCATTGTTGCCGTACACATCATTTCTGAGATGTCCTCCATGCGGAGGTTCTGTGTTCTCCTCTTCCGGTAACTGCCAGTTTGCAACTTGCAGAGTCTCACAGATCTCTCCAATGGGCTCAAGAGCAATCATTCTCGACCTACTCTTGCTGCTTCGTATCTGCACAAAAGAGGTGTGTTCCAGCTCAGGCTCTTGTGGAGCCTCCACTCCCTCATGCAAAAGAATGGAAAGCATATGATGATTCTGCCAAACCTGAAGACGCACATGCACAAAGTCTCCTGCTTGCCACACTGCTTGCAATCCACTGATTCTACGTCCGTTGACAAGCACATGAGGACGAACTCCCTGCAACAAGGCATAATCGAACCAGAAGGGGTGGATGGCTAATGCTGTCACAATATCCAACGAAACTGGGCCTTCGAGCACTGAAATAGCCCAATATTCATTGGCTCCTTCAGAACGATATGGCATGGATTGTGCTGAAACAATTTGTTGCTGCACCAGGATGGGAAATCCTTCCCTGCCACCATAGTCAACAACAAAATGAAAACGAATGTGTTCAGCATCACGCAAATCATCAGTGGCCATGGTGCAAAAGACAACCCTGGCATTATCTGAATCAAAAGGCCAAAGCTGCTGCATTTGCGAAATCCAATCCAAATGTAGCAAATCATCTCCTTCCAGAATCAACTGCCGCCAACCTAAAGGACGGTTTGCCGGCGAGATGCCATGGACATGACAGATGATCTGATGGATGTCACCCTCCATGTGCTGCAACTCTTCCACTTGCAGATAAAAATCTTCAACTCTGTCCACGATGTTTCCTGCTTGTGTCACCAACTCTGGTGTGTCTTCCACCCGCACCGTGCAGAGCATTCCATCTCTGACATCATATCGCTGATCCGGTTCCATGACATTGTATCCCAAGCGAATCAAACAATCCCTCATCTTGAAAGGTTTGCAATGCTTGTGCATGTCAAGTTGAACTAAAGCGTCCCGAATGGAAATGTCAGTGAAAATCTTGGCCCCATAGGGCGCTGGTCTGAGAGGCAAATGACGAGGACCTCGCTGAATGACTAAAACATTCCTCACGTCCTCGTTCATGTCTTCCGGACTCTCAATAACGACCAACACCACAAGAGTATTGGGTCCAGCAACTTCGCATGGCTGTGGTGTAACATGATAGACTGTGATGCTGCCATATTGCAGGTGGTCCTCCCAAAGCGTGCGAATCTTGCCTTCCAATTCATGAAGCCTCCATGGGTTGAAGTCTGTCTCTCTTCGACCTAAGTCGACTAGACCCAATCCATAGGTCACAACAACCCATCGCCTTTCACTTTCCTCAAGACCTTCCAAGGCTTGGTCTAGGAAAGCTTGCGCCTGGTCTTGATGGCCATGAGCAAATGAAACATCATCATCAATCTCTTCATCTTCCTGATCAATATCAGCATCGTCAATGGCCTCCCAAGGATAAGGGTCCGGACGCTCGAATTGTAAGGCAATTGGTCTGTTGGACATCCATCCAATTTCGTCAGTTTCAGCAAAGGAGGAAGATTCAACATCTGCAAGCCAGGTGAGATCGACGTTACCCTCACCCCCGCCTTTGTCCATCTGCTGAGATGTCCTGAGAGATTGAGCTTGCCAGGACCAAAGGGTGTCCGCTTTGGTTTCCTTCTCTTCATGTGCCCATGTATGTGATTTTGCAAGAGCCTCATCCATGACGCTGGTGTGTCGGAAACCTTGATGTAACTCCCATGTCCACGCTGTCCATTTTTCTGTTGCTGATGAAGACAACCATGAAACCGAATCAACATCATCTTCATCTGAAGGGAGATCTGTTGATGCAGTCGAGGCGTCACCACTATCCTCCCCATCGGAGAGACCCAGAGGACATAAGTTGCCGACCACATACTGCGCTTGTGGCACCCTACACACATCATCATCAGCAACTTGCCGTGCTTCTCCACACTGATCATACTGAATGCAGCACAAAAAAATTTGCATGGCACATGCCTCCGAATATTGTGCTTCTCGGAAGACTGCCCGCACAGTGCACTCTTTTGCATACAGAACAGCTCGAGTAGACATGAGTGGTGGCAAACCAACTCCTTTCATCAGGAGCACGGACCACGGAGTATCATCACCCTGGACAATGATAACATGTGCCTTCGTGCTAGGCAGGCCATCAGGCTGTCCCTGGACCACATACCATCGCAGGTGCGACCCATCCATCAACTCCTTCCACGTCTCTCGACACGCATGTTCAAACTCCGAGAAACCCATGTGTCCATGAAAAACAACTCTCCTGGGGCGCATGCATAAATGAAAACGCCCAGGTGACAGGAACCACGTTGCAATGAACTCTGGCCTCGGATCATTCTGAGAACATGTTTGTGTAATGGCTGTCCACCAACTCTCAGAGCTATCCGCATGCTCATTGGAATCTTGCTGCACCATGTGACGTTCCTCGTCATCTGAAACTGCCGGAGTCCCACTCCATGAGTGGATCATGTTCAAATAGGCCATGTTTGCAAAAACGGCTTGAAAGTCAGGCCAAGCTGCAATCTGCCCATGTAGGTGCCATAAATGTCTCCATGCTCGACACGCATCTGTTTCACACATGACAGCGGTACATAGCTGATCTTGAAATGCCAGATGCAGTTCAACAATGGGACAAAAGGTCACCCTCTTTTGATTGTTGCTTTTCCTACACGCATCGTTTGACACCTGCACCATGACGGGTCCAGAAAGGGCTGGCGATGCGTTCTGTCCACAAAATCGGTGTCAACATCGTCATCCAAGACCTGGGATGCAAGGAGATCCACGTTACCCTCCTTGCCATCCCGCAAAACGGCCTTGTCTACATAATGAGGTTGTGCTGGCCTGATCAGATCCGAGTTAGCCTGATCACAGCCAAATTCAATGATCTTTTGCATCATGTTTTCAAGGGAGTCAAAGGATCCATCGCTACAACATAGGGGTTCCAACTTTGCCTCGACCTTTTCATTGCAATGATGCTGGATTGAAGTGTGTATCATACTGTTGTGATGAGCAACCACCAAGCTCTCACACTCATAATTGCCCTGCTTCTCCAACGGTGAAAACAATGGAGAACAAAACTCACCGTGATCTTCCTTGGACGGAGCCATGATGTCGTCCACTGCACTCATGTCACTGTTCCAGGAAAATGGTTGACCAAAATGGGAGTGCCAAAACTCCTTGATTTGCTTCCGAAAGGATGTCAATCTAGAACAGGAAGTGTTTGTCGAACAAAGCTTCCCACACGGACCATGGCTCCTCAAAGCCACAGTATCCATCACTTGTCCTCTTTCTCCTTGTCCTTGTGCTTGGCATCCTTGCTGTCTTTCGAATCTTGCGCCTTCACCTTGAGATGGTGGTTTGCAACTTTGCTCGGCGAACTTGACCCACGAAAGGGACGAAGGGCTCGTGGTGTTGCTTTGCACGATGCTCCATGCAGCATGTCCTCTGGCTCCACAAGTTCCTCCTCCTCCATGGCTTCCGTTAGATCTATAGGGCCTGCATGCCCCTCCATCTCCATGGTGGTCTGCAAATCTTCGAATTGCACTTCTAGGTCTGGCATCTCGGGGATGACTGGCTCCGTCCATTGAGGTCCCAACAACGATTGGGATGCCAGCGTCATCTCCCGCTTCACATTGGCCAGTTCCTGAATTTTGGCATTGTAATGTTCCATGAGATCTGCTCTGCATGTTTGAAACATTTCCCCATGCTGTCGAACCTTGGCTACCGTGGTGCTGACAAAAGATGTCCACTCCTGGTCCAGGTCCTTGATCTTCTGTGCAGCTGTGGCCACCTGCACTTTGAGCTTGTTGAGCTTGTTCAACTGTCCATGGGTCAATGTCCGACTGGATTGTGCCTTCGCTTCCCTCATGGAAAGCTCCTCCAATCTTCGTGTCATTGACTCCGTAAGATCCATGTCCATGGCCTGCAAACCTTTGAGATGTTGCAACATCTTTTCCTCCTCCGCTGTGAGCGCCATCGGCACTTCGACAGATGGCGCTGGTGGAAGAACTGGCTGCGGAGGCATCCCAAGAGGCTTGTCCATAGAAATTCCTGATTCCACCTTGCGCTGGGCTCTGCTTGCCGGCGTTGTGGAAATCCACGGCAATTTTCCTGGGAAAACTGCCCATGAATCCGTCTCCTGACTGGCTTGCTCTGTCACCTGGTATTCTGAAGCATCCTTCTTTTGCTTCTTGATGCTCTTGGATCTGGAGCGTCGCGGTGCTGTCCAAACCGCACTCCAATGAGCATGGCAAGCCCGACAGTAAGTCATCTTTGGCGTGTTGTTGACTTTGCATGTATGACAATGCCACGTCATGACACCCAGACTTTGGACTAAGGAAGGGAACTCGAGTGGATTGTAAGAGTGGTGCTCGTACAACGAACTCCAGGCCTGTCTCACTTTCCTTCTTGTCCTTCTCCCCCAGAAACCGATGCGAACCTTGAATAGGCAGGATCTCGCTCGTTGCCTTTTCCGTCGAAGGCCCCGATGCCAATTTGGTTCCACCCGCTTCGCCAGTCTGAATGCTCAAATGGACAATGAAGTCACACCAAAGCCACGCTGCGAGCAGTCGCCCAAACATGCGATGAGCGAAAGCCCTAGGGTTAAAGACTAAGGGGGTAGTGACAGTCACACAACTACCACCCCTGGGCCGAAACCTTATTGAGATATATATATATATCCACAGACCATTACCCCCATTCTGCCACCATCGTTGTTGCTTGAATCACCATTTTCGTTGGTTAAATCCTAATGTTTGTTACTCAAATCTCCATATTTTTGTGGCGTAAATTCCCATTTGTGTTGGTTAAATCCCATATTTCGCGGATGAAATGCATCTATATTGCCTAAACCCTTTGCTGTGCTGATGAAATCCCAAGTCTTGTTACTTAAATCACCCATTTTCTTCATAGAAAATCCCCCATGTTTGTCATGTTTGTTGGTGAAACCCCCATTTTTGTCGGTTATGTTAGTTGAATCATGTTGAATCCCCATTTTTGCTGCTTGAGTTCCCCAGGGTCTTCACATCCCGCTCGGGCCTGCCACCAGCTTCAGCTCCTCCTCCTGGGCGTCGATGCGTTGCTTGGCCGTCTGCAGCAGCGGCGTTAAGCGCTGCTCCACCTGTAGGCACTCCTCCTGGCCAATTCTGGGAGTCTCAATGATTTTTGTCGGTTTTTCCATGTTTTTCCAATGGTTTATGATGGTGTTTCCCATTTTTCCAATGGTTGTTGATGGTGTTTCCATGTTTTTCCCAATGATTTTTCGAAAACAAATGTTCAATGATGCCTGAATCTCAATGATTCTCATGATGTTCCATGATTCTTTTCTGAGATTTTAAATGATGCGTTCATATGCGTTCCACTTTTCATGGTTTAATGAGTTTAATGAAGGATCTTTGTTTTCCGAGTCTCAATGCTCAATCCAAGGCCCCAAGATCTCCCCAATGGCGCCAGGTCCTTAAGTTCCTTGGACGCAACTTCCACTTGGGCCATTCGAGCCTCCGCGCTCTCCTGGAAGGTGACGATGTCCTGAGGCAAAAATATATGCACTTCATGATTGGCTTTGGGTTGATGGTTCATGGTTAACCCATTCTGAATGGATATATCGGATATATCGGATACATCGGATATGTTATTAATTGATATTAGTTGTTATTAATTGATATTAATTGATGTTAATGGTTGGGAATACACCCAAATAGTGTGGTTCAACTCCATTTTGATGATCTCCAGTAAACCATCCCATGAACCACTGGGAGATCATTATTTTTATCATCCCAGTTCTGAGGGCTAAGTATACCGTTACCCTATCACCCAAAAAACCTCTATTGAGATGGTCTACCACATTAATAAGACAATCATCATACATGTAAAAAATGAATAAGTCATGGTAAAAAAAATATGTTAAAATTAATGAGATGTAATTTAAAATAATCTACCCGTCTTTTTCGTCGCGTAAGCTTGAACAAACCATTCTGTAAAGATAAAACCTGCTTAAGCCATGGTACCCTCCTTATTACTGTTCAAACCCACACCCAAAAAAAAGAAAACATAGATCCCTCATCAACCCTCACCATACTCATCAACATCACCAACGTAACCACAGGCCCTCCAGGCGCGAGCGTGCGGGCCAGTCCTGCCCCAAAGTTTTGATTTGCTTCGACAGCTCCGCTTCCCAGGAAGGTAGCACCCGACTCTTCAGCTCTGCCTGGTGGTTACCTGAAGGAGGCTGGTGGTTTTTCTTCGGATCCACCATGAAAAATGGGGAAAATCCCATGGAAAATCCATGATCGATCGAAGTTACCAGGGATTTACCCGCAAAACCTCATGGTTTTTGCAATCCAAACAAGAAGGTTTTGGATTTTGATTTTGGAGTGTTATATACCACGAAAGAACAGGATCTGAACCTCCTTGCAGCATTGCAAGCTGAGACCCTCATCCCATGAAGCTTTCTGGCTGCCACCATCGAAGAATTAGTGTCATGGAACGCCTGTTTGGTAATCTGTTGAGTGTGTTGCTTTATTAAACGATGTTTTGCACATTCATGATGTTGTTTCTTTTTTGAATGTGAAAATCGACAGCGAAACCCAAATCTTGGCCGAAGGCAACTATGTAATCCCGAGGCAAATATGAAAATCCGCCACGGTTTGGGTTATCAAAAACCTTGACACCCACCTCACCCCACCACTATCCACTGCATTCCCCGCTTGAAATCGTTCCCAATACTACTCCACTACAGTAGACATCCGTAAGCCTACATAGTTGATTGATTGCCCAGGGGACCCTGCATACCATAGTGAGCACAGATATACAAATATGAGTTGTATATTGATCATTGATCCCCCGTTTTTCTAATGGTTTGCCAGGGGGTACAGGTACAACCTCAATCATAAATCAATTGTTAGGCTTAACGCATACTATTGACCTTTCAAGTCAACGAGTGTCCTGAGAACCCTGCACCTCACTGCACCTCATGTAAATCCATTTTCTTCATGACTGTTTCAACATGTTCCAACCTCATATCCTGCTGCCCAGTGGCTGATTTCGTCGATGGAGTGCTGCAGCGCTTGCATTTTCGTCTCGGTGTTCTCCTGCAGGTCGGTCATCTTCCTCGGGAACTGGCACTGAGGGACGCTTCTCTGATGCCAATCCCCGCGGAGTCAACGCTGGTTGGGAAAAAGTATGGTGGGTGTCTCCCATCGAGTCATACATGGCCATGGTCATTGAAGTAGTACCCGGTTTTTGGCCGTACTGCACTTCAGCTACATGCTTGGCTCCTGGCTAGTTTACATATTGTTTCCATCCCTGAAAACCCTGGGATTTCCTGCAAAAAGACCTGTAGTAAGGTGGCTGATATCGACCAAGACCGACAAATAACATCAAATCAACTCCCCTAAAGGCGCCGGTTGGGACAAGCTTCTCTTCAACGGTGGCCAGAGATTTGCCTTGCTGCTCCATCTGCGCCTGGAATTTTCGACGTTTGATGTGGAAAACCCATGGAGTTTCTCCCAGGAAAATGATCTACAAATGCGGGGTTCCCCACATCTATGATCATCTATGTTAGTTTACAGGAGGGTAATCATACTGGTAATTTAATCGACCTCATTGAGATTTCTGGCAATGCCTTATCAACTTTCGTCCGTGGAATTTGGGCAAAGTGCCCAGACCTTTTCCAACCTCCGGGAGTGTGACATGACAAGGAGGCCCTTTTTCAGCATGCAAATCTTCCTCCTACCAAACAATTGATGTTCAATTACCAGGTTTTTTTACACCGAAGGTTCCACATGGTTCCACATGGTTCCACATATCTGACATATCTCCCGTCTTCTTCACTGAATCCCTCATGTTTGCTGGTTGTTTCTCCGTTTCTCCACTGGTTCCTTTGGCACCTCCAATGATTCAAGGCGACCATTCACCTGGTTTTGCACCTCTTCCTGAGCTTCCTCCACGAGAGTGGCAATGGAAAATTGTTTTTGTTGAGGGAAAAGTTGCACAAAAAGATTGATGAAAATCGTGGGTTTATCTTTGGGTTGGAGCAAAAAATCGTCAATTGATGGACTTTCTCCAGCTTAGATTGTCAAACAGAGGGCAGATGAAATGGAGACACTCAAACGGAACCGATGAAAAAGTATCAAAAAGTCGATTGAAATAGTGGTGGAAGAGCATTTTTTGACGATTTGGCAAGGTTTCCGCGCACAGCAGAACTGAATCAAAGCATGTCCAAAAAACGCTGCCTGCTTAGCAAATGGGGTATGTGACATGTGGTTTTTATTTGTTTTTATAGCGTTAGTTTACCACATTCCCTGCTGCAATGGCTGGATGTTCAACCCCCTTCAACTGATGGTCCCAAAGGTCTCTCCCGAGGCAATGCCTTTGGGGACACCCCTCTCAAAAAGTGCTGTTGGTCACCATGAAATACATTAAATATAATATATATATATAATTATGTATGTATATATATGTGTGTGTGTGTGTGCATTCCCAAGAGATGCTTGTTGGTACTACCATAGCTGGACATGGTCCTTGTTGCGCTGTTTCTCCTCATTGCTGGCTGCTTCAGCCTGTTGTCGCTGCTCCTCGCTGCAGTCGAAGCGACCCTTCAAAGTCTCAAGAGCCTGGGGCTGATGCAGATTGGCCAGAAATGGGCTATGTAATGTTGAGGGATCCTGCAGTTTCATGTAGTTTCATCGCCAAATTGGCGTAAAACTGTGATAGGTTTGCCTTTCAACATTGAATCCAATTGTATAGGTTCAGTAAAGTATCCAATTGTATAGGTTGAACAAAGTATCGGATGGTTTTCCTTGAACCAACGTCCATGATAACTCAGAGATGAACTAAGGGGAGGCCACAAACCGATTGGCAGGTAAGATAATGCGCGGCTGAAACCAAAAAAATGATAGTTCTGAAGATCCGTCTTCATCCTTATTCACCGATGTATAATTCAATCATCCTTTGGAAAGGAAGAAGCCCTTTAGTCAGTTGTCTGTCCAATGCGCATCGAACTCAATCTTAGTCATGCGCGTCTGTGTATGTTTGCTCGTCGATTTGAAGACTGTATGCCAAATGGTTTTGTCTGAACATAAGGCACCCCCAAATAAAACGCGGTTTATCATGGTTTATCAGCAATTTTCTCATTAAAAAAAAAAACCTGGATCATCATGGTCCCAGCATTTTCCCATCATGTTCCCATCATGTTCCCATCGCGTTCCCATCATGTTCCCATCATTTTGACCCATCGCGTTCCCATCATGTTCCCATCATGTTCCCATCATTTTGACCCATCGTGCTCCCATCATGTTCCCAAAATATGTTCCCCATTTCACAGTGCTATTCTATGGCCATCCCCACCTTGAGGAGCTGCAAGACCTGCCGAGCCAAGACGTTGTGAGAGTCCTGCGATCCGGCGATGTGGGGATGGTGTCTATGACTTCCCCTTTGGGGAAACCAGAAATGGCTGGTACCATCTGGTTATTTAACATAGCCATGGTATAGATGGCCCATAGAAATAGATGGTTTACCTATGAAAAATGGTGATTTTCCATGGCTATGTTAAATAACCAGATGGTATATGGTGGATTCCAACCATCAAAGTCAAAGGTTTGGAGGTTTATTACTAGGTGTACTACGTGTACTGGGAACCAGCAAGAATTTGGAGGTCATGAGTTACTGGGAAACACCCGGGATTTTTCCGGAGGTGAAAATAATGTGGGAAGCTTCCCCTAACCCGAAAGGTGAAGGTTCGCGAAATCTTCCCAGAGTGGGTGACATGTTGGGTCCGGAAGAGGGATGAGAAAAAAAATCCTGCATCTACCAGAATCACATTTTGTGGATCTTTGATGTTGACCGATGTTTGCTCCGGGCGGTTGCACAGGCAAGTTGCACACTGGTGCGGGCCTTCTTTTCCACATCTATAAGTCTATAAGTTAAGTAAACCGTGGAAGTGTCAAAGGACTAAGCCTGGGCAGACATGGCTGGCAATTGAGAAGAAAAAAACCCAAGTGTGTACAAATGATTTGGATTATTGTTTCAATAGAGATTAGGGCGATTACAGTTGGGCAGTGGAAAATCCCGAACCTCAATGGCCATTTATTGTGAGTGATTTTCCCATTCAACACTTGGATTTTTCGGGCTTACCATCTGAAACTTTCCAGGTGCGATTCATCAGTCATCCGGTCCAGCACACCCGTCAAGCCCGTGGCGGCAGACACGAAGAGATCATCTGGGTTCAACGGAGGAATTTCCTCCGCCTGAGTTCATGGGGAAATCCTGCAGCTTTTGGCCCCAGAAAACAGCCAAAATGGTGGATCAAGGTGCAGCCTGAAACCCTGGCAGAACTTCATGCGCCTTTGCCGTGACATGAATGTCACAGTTCCACGGGGGTCGTCCTGATTGATTTGTTCAATGGATTGGTTTAGGAAAACAAAGCCCCAGGCCTTCAAAGGGCATGTTTGACTTCGACATACGGAAATACATGGAAATACTACGTTTAACCATGGTGGGCCCCCCTTGTCTTCCCCTGGCATTACCTGTTAAGCTGGAATGAATATAGTGGTGGATGACTCATGCGCAGCAGTGTATTGGGTGGAAGAGCTGACATAGATTTTGAAAAATCGAGAACATAAATGGATCCTAGGTGGTGCCCCCAAAACATGTTCGCGTGAAGTACCCGTGAAGTTGCGTGAAGTACCCGAAATGCTATTTTTACCGGTGAAATGCTAAGTTTACCCGTGAAAAACTAGGTTTATCCGGCGCTCCGCCTGAGCTGGCACAAAACAAACCCTATGTTTTCCTGCGGTCGTTTTTTGATCCCAAAGCTTTGACCGATCCTGCAAAGTACTTCGACCCAAAGCAGCCAATCCTAGAGCCCAGGACACACACTTAGTACTTCATGGGTTCCTTTAAACTGTCCGATATTCGAAGGCGAAGTCTTAGACCTTCCACGATGTATTCACCAAATCAAGTAGGGTTTCCCAAACGAATCATTTTAATTCAGCATATTGTTTTTCAAAAGACTGCTTTACCTGACATATATTCTGACATTCTAACTGACGTAAATTCTGCATAATTCTGCCATTTTAATCTAACATTCGATCTGACATATGTGTTCTCTCCTTTTTATTTGTCTGACACATGTGTTGACATGCTATCGAACATTGTAATGGGCACTCTATCTATCTGGCATGTATTTGGCGTATCTTCCGAAAAGTTATTTGACATTGTATATGACATTCTTTCTGACATTGTATCTGACATACTTTCTGGCATTTTCTCGAACAAATATCCTGACAGTTTATCTGACCTAGACTCTGACATTTTCGTTGACATTTATTCTGGCAATGTATATGACCTTTTATCTGGCAGTCTATCTGGCATATATTTGGACATTAGATCTGAAAGTGCATAAACATATCATATGTTCTGCCATACTTTCTCACATCTTCTCCGACTTTCTCTGGCTATCTGACCTTTTATCTGGCATGCCCGGCCTGGTAAACTAACATAGCTATGGAAAATCTGTGAATAGAAATTTCATCAACTATAAAAGATTATAAAAGGACCATTTTCAATATATATATATATATATACAGTAGCTATATTAAATAACCAGAGGGATCCAGTTCGGCTCCGGCCAGGCCTAGCCCCAGCCCTGCCTGTTCTGCTTCTGGAGCCTCCTCTTCAGCCATGGCCGAAAGACCGGTCGACTGGATTCTGGCTTTGACTCGATGGTTAAACTCCTGGATTCCATGGCGATCGCAGTGTAGGTATATATATATATATAATGTGTGCATGTGTGTATGTGTATATTTACTTATTATTGGTTATATATATATGTGTGTGTGTGAGTGCGCACTAATATAGTGAGAATAAATCATAGATCATATATCTACATGTCGCGTCTCTGTCAGCTTCGCCAATCTCGCCCCCTCGAAAAAAAAAGTTGCTCCGTTCAGCGGGCACATTGGCTTCCTTATTAGAAGCGGCCAGCTTGGGGCAAAACGGCGAGCCGCTGGACGCGCTTCAACGTCAGGAATTCACCCTCTACTGGCTACTCGAATGATACAGTACTGGTATGATTCTTCTGGAAAACTTTAGATTCATTACTTTCCTAGATGCTACTAGAACATCATAGTATTACATAGCACTGCTAGATTTTTCTGATTTCCAGATTTTCCAGTATGATTCTGAATCTAATAGATTCTACTATAGAACATCATAATTAATTACCACGGTATGAGTCTACACACTGAAGAATAGTTGTAGATGCCATGGCATGCTTCTACAACCATATCAGGGCACAAAGACTGCCAGGTCGTCTGCCCTTTTTCAACCCAGCTTCGGGTCTGATCGACGCGCTGCATGTTCACATAGCGATCGGCAAAAAAGATAGACCCACATCGGACGCGACCGACGTTACGTCTCATCCCTAAAATGAACAAAACAGTCTTGATTGCTATTTTCACCTTCGATTTTTTGGGTATCATTTGTTGTCCCTTTCCTACGCATTCTGCACGGAACTGCTCCCACACCTTTCGCAACAGGAGTACTTTGCTCCATGTCACACAGGAGCATCCATCATGGCTATCAGACTGTGCCGGACCCGTTTACTGGGTGCCACCGGTGCTCCATTCCAATGGGTCTTCCATAGTTGTTCCCTTTCAATCAGGCGATACATGTGGGTGTAGCGGCTGGGGGCCTTCAAGCGGCAGCTACAGCTACAAATGCATGTTGTATCATGTTGTTGCTTCTGTCAATTCTCAACCACATTCAAACCGTGCTGGCTTTCAGTCGGTGAAGAATTATGAAGGTAACCTTAGGTCTTAGGCATTCATATGCGCCGGCAAAAGAACACGGCGTGGAACCAGGACTCTTCAGGATCAAGCCCGGCTGGGCTGAAAGCTGTTTGTTTGTTCAAAGAAGCGGCACCCAGTCACAGCGGCCTGTCAGATTAAGAGGCGTTGAGTTGCAGTAGTTTCTGCAACCCCTGCAGTTCTTGGTTGTTTCTTTGACAACCCGTGCAGTGGAGGCACACCCTAACTGCTGAATGCAAGCTGAACCTATTTGGGCATTTGGGGAGGCAAACTTTAAACACAAATCCGCCCACACCGCTTTGGCGGTGAAGGCGTGCTTATTGGGGGGCAAAACAGCAACACTAAATGCTCAATGACATTTGTTAATATAGCAGTCGCTATATCAGCTTTAGCTGGGGGGGGGCCAAAAACGGTTTCGCACCGAGACCAGAATACGGTGGTGTTTTCGACATTTTTCGAGGATTTTTGGGTGTCTGAGCGCAAGAGGGTATTGAAATGGAATTTTGGGTCATTTTGGTAGCTTTCCGGCAATGGAAAAACGGCCAAAAATGAAAAAAACATTGTACATAGCAAGATTTTGCAGGGTTTTTGGATGCCAGAGCATTGAAAACACTGCAAAAACAAGTGTTTTGGACTGACGTTATAGCAAAAAACGTGTAAATTACCGTATGCTTGACTGGAAACATTACAAAAACACTGTCAAAAGCAATGTTTTGGAAGGATTTACTGCCTTTATGGCAAAAAACGTGTAAATTACCGTCTGTTTGACTGGAAACATTGGAAAAACACTGTCAAAAACAATGTTTTGGAAGGATTTCTTATATATATGTTGGAGTTGGCTACCGGCATTGGCACATGGAAAAATTGAAGAAAACACTGTAAATAGCGGTATTTTCAACGGTTGGGGAGATAAGGGAATTGGAAGCATTGTCGAACATGATGTTTTCGACCGGTTTTATGGCGACAAAAGTGTAAAGTACCGTGCTTTGAAGGAAACCATTGCAAAAACATGGAAACACATTCAAAGAACACGGGATTTGGGGGACTATCTAGGCGTCGTTGTCTAGCTATTTGAAATTCCGCAGCTTGGAGAGCCTCCAAGGGAGGAAAAGTGAAAATTCCATAGCTTGGGAAGCTGTCACGGCGGGGAAAAGTGAAAATTCCCTAGCTTGGGAAGCCCCCACGGGGGGGAAAAGTGAAAATTCCCTAGCTTGGGGAGCCCCCACGGGGGGGAAAAGTGAAAATTCCCTAGCTTGGGGAGCCCCCACGGGGGGGAAAAGTGAAAATTCCCTAGCTTGGGGAGCCCCCACGGGGGGGAAAAGTGAAAATTCCCTAGCTTGGGGAGCCCCCACGGGGGGGGGAAGTGAAAGTTCTTAGCTTGGGGAGCCCCCACGGGGGAAAACCACCCTTAGCCCCTCTCACGGACCGAAATAAACCTGCGGTGTGGGCGGCCACCCCACGCGAAGCGGGGTGAATAATATCAAATGATGGCCTCATTTGAACTTTGTAAATGGGGTCAACACTCCAATCAAGTCCAAGTTACACCTCAGTTATGAGATGTTATCAGCGTCGTGAAACAAAGGGGGCCGGAAACATCCAGGCTGCAGAGATCGCATTGAAATCTCAAGATCTTAACCTGTACTAATGACTATGTATGCGTATGTACACATACATTCCCAATATTTTAATATGTTTTGCTGTTTGGGACTCAGCAATCAGGGCCCTCCGCTGTGAAACCACCGCGATGTGTTTTGTTTTTTGCGTGCCTACCTGCGGCCACGCTGCCGCCGCACGGCCGCACGCGTGGGGCCAACAGCCGGCAGACCTCGCAGATGGGGCCACCCAACAATTGGACATAGTATAGCTTCATATGATATAAATAGGACATAAACATTACAAGACAAAAACCATGTTTTTCCTCTCATAGTAAGCGTATGATGTGACTCTGTGACTTAGTGATTGTGATTGATTGTGTGTGTGTGTAAGCAAGTGCATGTTTGCTTGGGGGAAGGGAATCATCCATGCTTGGGAGATCATCCCGGCTGGGTTCGGATTTTCTTCTGGTATGTCGAGTGAATCCAAGTTCCAGTAGGTTTGGAAAAGTAAAAAAAAATGCCAAACCCATTTAGCAACCCACAGCAATTCTCATTGAACTGGTTTAAGGAGAACATTTACTGGAAACAAAGCATGGTTTGATGTAAACAAAGCCACGGTTTCCGGCGTGCATTTTCCAGGCAACTCTTAACGGCAAGAGGCCAGTGGTTGGTGGTAGGTCTTGATACCACCTGGGGCCCATCGGTCTTTGTGTCTCTCGCCAGTCCTCGGCGAAAGAGGGTGGTAGTGGAAACAAAACACAAAATATGTTACGATGATGATATATAATGATTTGTGATGAACTATAATGAATTATGATTGTATATAGTCATGTGTATATATATATATGAAGATGAAGATGATGAAGAAGAAGATGATGATGACGATGACGATGGTGATGATGATGATGATGATGACGATGGTGATGGTGACATATGATGATGACATATGATGATGACATATGATGATGACATATGATGATGACATATGATGATGACATATGATGATGACATATGATGATGACATATGATGATGACATATGATGATGACATATGATGATGACATATGATGATGACATATGGTGATGACATATGATGATGACATATGATGATGACATATGATGATGATGATGATGATGATGATGATGATGATGATGATGATGATGATGATGATGATGACATATGATGATGATGATGATGATGATGATGATGATGATGATGATGATGATGATGATGATGATGATGACATATGATGACATATGATGACATATGATGACATATGATGACATATGATGACATATGATGACATATGATGACATATGATGACATATGATGACATATGATGACATATGATGACATATGATGACAGATGATGATGATGATGATGATGATGATGATGATGATGATGATGATGACATATGATGATGATGATGATGATGATGATGATGATGATGATGATGATGATGACATATGATGATGATGATGATGATGATGATGATGATGATGATGATGATGATGATGATGATGATGATGATGATGATGATGATGGTGACATATGATGATGACATATGATGATGACATATGATGATGACATATGATGATGATGACATATGATGATGACATATGATGATGATGACATATGATGATGATGACATATGATGATGATGATGACATATGATGATGACATATGATGATGACATATGATGATGACATATGATGATGACAGACATATGATAATGACATATGATGATGACATATGATGATGAATGATGCTGGATAATTATGATGATAGATGAACTATGATGATATATGATTCAGTATAAAGATATATGGTATACAGTACATATATATATATATTGTGTGTGGTGACATATGCTGGTATATGATGGTAAATGATGATTTATGATGATAGATTATGATGAACTACGAAGATAAGTATATGATGAAGTATGATGTATAATGGTATCATGATGAATCATGATGATATACGATGATCAATTCAATTATAACTATATTTTTATACGTTAATACTTCGTGGATGTGGATGTCCCAGCAAATAATTCCATCTTATCGCGAGAAGAACTATGTTTGTGCTAGAAATCGTTCCCCTGAAGTCTTCAATGCCCAACTTCTGGATCAAAATGTGGCCAGGCATTCCATCTGCCCAGTGCCAAACCACTACCCTCCATGGCTGGATTGGAAGGGATCTGAATTTCACCACAAAAAGGTCCAAAAGTCCAAGTCTGCCGTGGTCCAGGGATTGGAAGGGATCTCCACTTCCACGGTGACCGGAGGCCCCGGAGGCCCCGGGGGTCCCGGGGAAGGGCTGCGGGTGGGGCTACGGCTTGGATCTTTGGAGTTGCGACGCCAGGGCCTGGGTGGTTTGTTCAAATATGGGGGCCATAAAACGAGGGAATCCCGTTTGGAAAATGGATCAAAATGGAACAAAATTTGGATAGTTCATGGAAAATATGATTGAAATATGGATGTTTTTGAGGACCATTTTAGGAAACCTTATTAATATGATGAAATACATCACCTCCACACTCCTTGTCTGTTTTGTGCTCCATCCTAGTTGGAGAATCCTGTGCTTTCTCCATGGCCGGCCCGGCGTGGCATCCAACCCATCTTGTCACAAAAGGTATTGCAGGCTTGGGAAACACCATGGAAATATGATGATTGCAAACTACTTTGATAATATCATTGGATTGGTTTAAGGGAAAATCTACAGGAAACCATGGTTTTTACCATCAAATATAGGGCTTTCCTGTAAATTTTCCCATCATCCAATTCTTTGATAATACAAACGAAATCAAACGAGCTATTACCCACCAAAACGCAGTGCGGTGCGACTTCCCCTATTTGACCCTTGCACTTAATTCTGATGTCCACACATGGTCAGTTCGACTATATACCCGATTGGGGAGTAGCAAATACATCCATAGAGGTTCCAAAAAATGGTACCTTGAAAGTATACTCATTTCCACTATGCATCCCTGGATTTATAGTTGTAGTTGCATCATGTGCGACAAAACTATTGTTGGTCAAAACTGCCATACACAAACAGGATCCTGCGGTCCTGCCCTATCAGTGTCGTATCGGTATAGGTGTCGTCCCCTGCAATATCGGTTGTGAAGGTTTTGCACGTCCGACAAATATAGGGCAAAACAAAATGGTTATACAATATCATTGTCGGCTACTCAAGCACGTATCCATGCATACATACGCACGCCTAATCTATCTGTATATATATATATATCGATAGATAGATATGTGTGTCTGCGTATATGTGTGTGTGTGTGTGTGCAATTATATGCATATATACATATATACGTGTATAAATATGTACATATGCAGATGTGTGCCAAAACGTGAGCACACGCGTTGACACATATGTACTGTATATATATAGATATATAATGAACTGCGGCAACGGGGCCAAACCCGATCTTCCAGTGCTCGAACCAGAGCTTCCAGGCGAGCTGCATCCTGGGGTGGCGTAGTTAGGATGATGATGATGATCATCATCATGATGATGATGATGATGATGAATGCTATCCCTATTGTTAAGCACATATCGAAAGTATAGTTGAGAATGTCAATAGCTATATAACATCTATGATGGTGCGTATGTTGATACTGTGACACTCCAATGTTGCGTTCGTGTACGGCTGAGAGTTGGGTGAGAAACACCGAGAAACAGCCATTAATAAGCCATCTCAGTAGTTGGACAGCCATGGTTCACTACTATGGTACTATAGTTACCTACTATCGAGTTACTATGGTACTATAATAACCATAGTTCACTATGGTATAGTTACTATGGTGGTACTATGGTCCTGTGAAAAGACGAGGGGCCGCCTTTGCCTGAATCGCCCGTACATGGAGTCAACGAGCGTCATGGATCCCTAGAATAAAAAAGGAGGCTGTGAGAATCATTTGATCATATACCATCAATATGGGTATACCCATCAAAAGCTATTGCAACCTCATAATATGATAATAATATGGGTATCTTGACCAAAAATGCCCCCGAGGACCACAGGTGACCATAGCTGTCATGTGAAAGATCAATTTACATCATATCATTCTTGGGTGCCCAAACGACACCCCCAATCCAAGGTGAACTGAACTCCCCCACCAAGCATCCATCATCCGCTGATCTTCCGACATCAGGAGGCCTAGGTGCCAGCCATTGCCTGGAGCCTGGAGACAGCCTTTCCCTGGGAACATAACTAGGGTTCCATTGGGGCCAAGAGCAGCCCTTCCAAATGATGTGGCATGACATGGCTCAAGGATGCCCAAGGTGCTTTGGAAGTCCAACTTCAGCTCTTCCAATTCTTTCCTGCGGCAAGGCTGCAACAGGCGAACAAGATGAACAAGACAAGCTGGCGGGTGGCTCAACTCAAAATTGTGAGTCAGATTATGTCAGGTTCAAGTAACACCCCATAACACCCCTAAATCAATGGCCATTTAGGCCTTATATGGTACAGTACCTCCAATTTAGGATCCTGGAATTCCCATTGACTAAAGTGGAAAAAGGTTTCAATACGAAGTCATGGCCCGGGCCCATGACGGGATGAAAAAACGGGCTACCCCCCATGAGATCCCTGTGGCACCTCACTGAGTCGACAGCGGAAGTGTCCACGTGTTGCACCTCGCTGCTGCGCCTTAAAGCCAAGCGGAGGGTACCACGGGCCATGCTTCGATATGTTTCCCTTATGATGTGTATTATGGGGCAAGTAGTATGTTGTCCATGTTGTTCAATATTACTCTTATTTTGTTTGTTGATGTTTGTTGTTATGACATTATGATTGTCACCATTCTGTATCATTCTTACCATTCTTGTCCTAATTATGGACACAGTCATCTATTATTGGAAACTATGGTTACTGTTTCAATGATCATTTGGGCCGAAGACTTTTTTTGCAAGTGATGGTGATTATTGGTGTTAGTGAAGATCCTCCAAAGTCCCAAATATACTTTTTGGAGATTGTTGAAATTGATTAAAAGCGAAGGCTTCGAGAGAATTGGGAGGACTCTCCAGTCTGGTTTGGGCTGATTTAGCTGATTCAGCTATCTCTTCCGGGCATACGCTTTGGGATATTGCTTCGGGGGAAGGTCATCATTTCCCTGGCCAAAGTGACTTGTTTGGCTGCTGAACTGTGGAGCAGGCATTTGCCCAATGGATCCTGAGCCTAGCCGTCCTACTTTCTCTGGTGGCATCAGGCATCAAACATGGTAAAGACGTGTTGGTGCCATCTCCCTAGCACCCCTCTCATCCATGCAGACTTGTTGAGCACGAGGATCTTTTGCCAGCTCTCCACTCGCTCGCGTTCCTCCTGGAGACCGAGCACAGTACAGCTGTTGCAGCAACCGGGATGCCATTCATGTGACTCCTACTGTATCAATATTTATCCTTACCCAGGGGCCAAAAAAATAGGCACCATGTGGGTGAGCCCCAGCCACCCCTGTCCTTCTCGAACCTGGTGACTAAGCTGCGTCGTTCTTCCCTCTCGTGTTTCATTTCTGCTTCCAGCCGTTGTATTCCTCAAGCTCAAGGGCAATGAGCTGTGAAATATTAAAAGGCCCATGGTTAGGGAATGTTAGGGATGCGGACAAACAAATCTCATAGCAATTGGATACGAATTTGGCAAATTTAAATGCACATTATATTCATATACTGTATATATATATATGTGTGTGTATGTATATATATATATATACACATTCACGCTTGCAAGACCACAGGCTGCATGCCAACCACATGCGATGAATGGGCACTTCGATCACCCAGGCCGTGATAAGTCTCCGCCAAACAATCATGCGCGTGTTCAAGCAGTTGACTTTGCTCATTGGGTTGGTTCAAGGGAAACTCTCTACAGGGAACATCCGCAAACACCATCCAGGTCCAAGGAGGGCAAGTGCCGTCAAGGAGCGTTCCACCTCCTTGGTTGACTTACTCCTCAGGTGCGGATGGGGATCGCCCAAGTCGGCAGATCTTGGGTCAGGTACCATCCAAGACCATCCAAGAGAAAATCCAAGCGCATCCAAGCTGCAAACGTTCAACCTCCGACTTTAACGCCTTCTCAAATTCCTGGCTGGTCCATGTTCCCTGAAGGCAAAACCAATTACAGTGCCTGTAGGCCAAGGATACCGGGGAAAGTCCCAAGTTTGAGGTAGGTTTTTTCGTGTTGATAGTGTGACATATATATAATATTATATAATCAGTCAATCAATCAATCAATGAATCAATCAGTCAATCGATCGATCAATCAATCAATCAATCAATCAATCAATCAATCAACGAATCAAGCAATCAATCAATCCATCAATCAAATCAATAAGCAAATAAATAAATATGACACACATATACGTAGACATATGTAATTATATATATATTATCATCTACTTTCATTGGGGGGGGCGTTCCATTGTCATGTCCGCTTGCTGGAGGCTATCCTGAGTCTTACCCGTGGAATTCCACAAGGAACCTCGTCCCCAAGCAAAAAGGATATCATCCCATGGCAACTTCAAATCGCAGAAAATAGGTGAGTGCTGAATTTTGATCCTCAGCCTTAGCCATCTTGGAGCTCAAGGAGGCACTGAAAAAAGCCGACATCGTCCCCCTAGATAATTGAAAATCATATAAATTATATCAAATATATATATATATCAAATATATATCAAATATATATCAAATATATATCAAATATATATCAAATATATGTAATTATAATTACCCCAAATGGAGGATGAACTAATGGGATATGTGAAAATCATCGATTCCGCAAGTCCAAACCCAGGGGGACCCATGTTCAGCGCCAGGCTGCGCTGTATCTGGACCCCAGGCTGGACATGCTCGCCGCGTGGCTCGCTTCCGTCTTCTCCGATCGGGCCTTTTTTCATGGGGCCCGAAACCATGCCGCGATGATTGATCCGAATTGAATTGGACATCCATAGTTCAAAAATGATCAAAAGCTCAGGGAATTTAACTGACTTGATTTACACCTTTTCTGGCAAGGCAAATTTGTATCTGTCTGCCATTTGCACACCTCGGATTTACTTGTCAATTTCATTCAATTTCCATAGGGATCACACAAAACTCCGAAGGAAAATCGCAATCTGGAGGTCCGTCACTTGCAGCTCAACGCAACGCAGACAGAGCCCCAGATCCAAAGACATTTCCCCCATGGAACTTCATAATGGTTTAAGGTTGATTTTATGGTGATTCACTGGGGCTTAATGAGATTTTATGGTGATTTAGTGGGAATGGTTTAATCACCGAACAGTGATGTGTCAGACTTCCCCAGCCTCGAAGTCTTTGCGGAGTTTGGACGTCACTTCTTTGAGTGAGCCCACCTCCACTTGCACCTGCCCAATAGCCCCCATTGCCTGTCGGCAACTCCAACCCTAACATCCAAGGCTCCAACGTTTTGGATGACACATGGATGTCGAATTACTACATGAATACACTGTCTCACCTAGATGAACATAAGTTCTTGAAACATTTGAAACTCATCAGGTACCGGGATACTCGTAAACCTCAGCAAGGCTGCCATGGCTGCCATGGCTTCCCCGCGCCTTCCGCAGCCCGCCGCCATCCTGTCCATCCAACTGCTCCAGGTGTTGGGAGATGTCCGTCAGCAACGAAGCAAAGCCACGGAGGTGTTGGGACATGCCCTGCAGGTCCTGGGGTCATGACTGGGAAGTTCCTGGCCCAGTCGCCTTAACAGGTTGTTGATGTTGGAATTGCAGCTGGGTTGCACTAGTTGCAACTTTGCGACCCGGGTACCAAAGTTGGCAGCACACCCTGTCACAACAGTACCAGCAGCAATTTGTTTTTGTTTTCGGGGCGGCCTAAGAAATTGACTTTCACAAACAAGTAGCCCGGTGAATGGGTTTCCCACATTTTGTCCATTTGTGACTTGGCGGGGCTAGAGATTTTTGCTAGGTCGGCAGGGTTGCCTTGACACGGCCATGTTTCGCGCTTTCCCATTCACAGTTTTCTCCCCCTCAAACCAGAACAAATATGATCTGTTTTGCTGTGTGGCCCATTGCACCCGCAAAAATTTGCATGTTGCTCAGATGTTCCGCGCAAACCGCATCACGTTTTGTTCTTCAGCAACCCTGCTCCTGGCCCACACGTTCGCTGAAGATTACTCGCTCGTAGTCCGACTGCCGCAAAGCAGTCTCCAGCTGCTCCAAACGACCTGAGGCACCGATGGCCAGGACGCGCACTGCAGGTCACAGGAAGGAATCTTTCAAAGGACCCATCTACGGGGAGTAAATGTAAGTGTCTTAAGTTGGGATCAGCGCACGCATTTCTGGATATGATATAATGGTCACCGCGCCAGCCAACAAAACGGTGACCGCACTAAGATCGCAATTCACCATATGCTGTTATCTATCAACCGATCAATCGATCCACTCAAATGCACACATACATCCATCCATCTAAAATACATGTACATGTACATATACACAGGCATACGGCAACTACATTTAAATATACGGATTTTAAATATACGAACAGGTATTTGAGACTAAGGTTTTCCTAGGCCCGCCTCGCCATTTAAACATACGGAATCCAATTCAATCCAACTCGTTTAAACATACGGTAGCTACATTTAAATATACGAACTGGTATTTTATACTACCTCCTGGGCCTCGCGGTCTGGCCCGTCCTCCACATATTTAAATGTCGTTACCATGTACATAGACATAGACATAGACAGATACACAGACATAGACATGTACATATTACAGCAACGGACAATCACTTAGAAGAAATGTATAGAAATGTTCCCAAATTTTCTGTCTCACAATTAGAAATGCTTGTTTTGGAGGTTTCCACGCTTAGAAGATCACCTCAAGAAGATCTGAGCAGTATCGTCCCGGATCTTCTAAGTGCGGAGCCCTTGCCAGCTAGTGGTTGCTTCTCTAACGTTTTGCAGTTATCAAGCCGCTATACCGAACCCTTTTCAATTGTGCACCTTAGTGGGACGCGAGGAAGCAAATGCCCCCCCGCGGGTCCAATCTGGCTGGAGAAACATGCCACGCCACAAGGTGGAAGGTTCTCATATGCGGCCGAGACATCTAATCAAAGAATAGGATTAATACTATTACTGTGAAGATGGTTTAGAAACGTACAACAGGCCTGATGCTGTCCCAAGACAATATGTAGCCATTGATACTGCTTCCGGGACCCACTGTCATGGGCCAAGACAAGTGGATAGTGTGGAATGCCAAGGGTGCAACAAATCCTAGCAGCGTTGTTTGTTAGATGTGACCGGAACACCTCTGAACAACATGTCAAATAAGCTCTAGAAATGGCGTTGTTTCAAAGCAAGCGTCCCCAGGCAACTTTGACTGCTGGCCTGGTAATTTGAAAACAGCGATGGCACCAACCACTCTCTTTCTTTCCCGCTCGTCAAAACTTTGATGCACCGACGCAGTCTGATCAGGGCACGGGCCAAAAAGCTGGTAGTGCTCATTCCTCGACCTTGCGCCCTGTCAAAGGTAGAAGCTATACAACTATGGTGTCAACACGGGGTGTACCAGCAATCCAAGCATCCAAGTTTGCTCAAGTCAATCGGCTTAGCATGTAGTAAAGGCTTGTGAAGCATGGCGAAGTGCAGCTTAAAAGTACCGATGTCATTCCAGGCATGTAACATGATGGCTGCCCCTTTGTGTAGACCATCTCTTTGATGGCACGAAGGAGACCTGCACGGTTCGCACAAGTAATGCGGCACCCGATGCATTTGCCTAGCCAGCAACCCTGCACAAAGGAAGTAAGTCCGTGGAAAAGGTAAAGACTTGCTTACCCTTTCTAATAGATAGCGGCGCACGTGAATGCATGTGCGTGTGCACGTTCGAAATTGACATCAACCGGATAGCATAAAGCCAAAGCGTGCCACAAACTCCGGGACAAGTCGACTCAAAACATAGTAGCCTCGTCTCCGTAAATAGCCCATACGACCCAGACCAGGAGGAACTGCGACTTCCGCTCCATGTTCTTGGCACGGAGTAGCAGCTTCTCGAGGTGCGATCAGTCTCACGGATCACCTTGTGCAAACACATGGGCAACATGGGAGATTTGTGCCGTTCACACTTTCGACAGATGAAGAAGTCTTTTGTCATCTGTGTTTCCTGCGTTTCCCATGGGACTTCAATCCTAGATGAAACTGTCTAGTCTATGCTGGTATACAAAATAAGGGGCATTGCATTTTTTTGATGGAGCCATCCTTAATGACCAGCTGGAATCCCTGTAGTTGCTACTTTGCAGCCTGGCCAGTTGATTGAACATGCAGGAAGTGGAACACATGGGATGAGGGGAAGCAATCTCAGAAACACAGTGTGACTTGACTATAAACATACTGCAAATTCAACCCGGTAGGCCTGAGAGGAATTGTTGTGGAGCCAAGCAACCAAAAGATTGCGGAGAACTTTGGCCCGCCACTGCGCTGTCCCGTAATACCTGTCAAATCTCCTGTTTTTTCAATCTAGTAAGTGCAGATGTTTCAGACCGTCTTTGCCCACCTTGCACTTCCGTACATCATGAAGATCACAAAGCAAAATCAATGCCCAAGGACCCAAGGACTTGCTTGACCGTGAGTGGACTTCATAAGAAGTGTATCTTTTGAGTGCTTAGGTAGATTGGCGGTAAACGACAAAAGACACAATCTGTTTGATAGCCAGTCGATGAAGGCAGGCCCAATGGATTTCCGATTCCGAGCAGATGGGAACTGTGCACGAGCAAGTGCCGCTTGGTTCGCAGCTTGACATCGCCACGAGAAGCCTGCGGCACAAGACCTTCTTCACCAGCTGCCATGGCCCGAAGGCTTGCTGGGAAACGTGCCTCCAGGACACCCGGTAAGGGTTAGTTCAAACTTGTTGAAACAGCAGGTATTTACTACATAGAATTTGTATGAAGCCGAAATAATTCAAATCTAAGGGCCTCGGCAAGGCGCAGTTGCAAGCACGCGCGTGAACGAACGCTGCTTTTGTGCCGCTCGAGCTCGACGCACACGCCGGCGGGCACGTCTGCGTCGCTCATTCCACGCAGTTGACAGGGGCCTGAAAACATGATGTGTTCAGTGAAAGGCAAAGAGTTTCGAGAGCATAGGTGTCAAAGGTCCGCAAAATCCCCGCTCATGCATGTCAGTTGGCACATGACATTGAACAACATGCATTCGTGAAGGGCTCTTCTAGAATCCTGCGCAGCTAGAACATACTACGTAGTCGGTCAGGCATGAATCAACACTCATGAGGAGCTGGACCATCAGAGTGTCTTGTTTGGTTTCTCATATCATTCTTCGCCTCGTCCCAAAGTCTTTCATGAGGTTCTCTCCGTGATTAAATCGAAAAACAAAAACCAACCATATATGATCCATAACGTCAAGGACCGTAAGAAAAGTTTGTTGTTAACGTGTCGAAGCATTGCATCATCTCTGGTACATGACACTTGACATCTAGTAACGTAAGATAAAGGAACATGCATGGCGTTAACGTGTCGTAGCGTAGCATCATCTTTTGTACATGACACTTGACATCGAGCAACGTAAGATAAAGGAAGATGCATGTAGTTAACAGGCCGTAGCGTAGCATCCTCTCTTGTGCAAGAGACGCGGCAGGCTCTAGATTTGTAGGATGCTAGTGCAAATGAACGTTATTGCACCCCGCCACCCCCCCCCACCCGAAACCCCCACAAACTAAATCCAGTAGCAAACATAAAAATAGCGTTTTCCTGTGTGGTCGCTAACAGCGCCCCTAGCTAAAGCCTAAAACTACCATGTTTTCCAACGCTTGGATAAATGAAGTCGCTCTCAGCATACATGATGTGATGTTCTAAGTGCGGGGCTTCCCTCAGGTATCATATCAATGGCAATCCCTCAGTTGTGAAGAGCAATCAAATCTTTGAAATAACATGTGTTTCTCTTGCATTCTATAATATGAACATATCTGGAAGATCTTCTAATTGTGAGCGTTTCCCAGGGCACGGTGTGATTCGGTATCAAAGGGAATCTTTTAAGTGTGAGATTTGGCGATCTTCGAAGTGCAGAGAGGCTTATACAAGGAACTTGTTGTTTTTCAAAAAGATCTTCCAAATGATTGTCCGTCGCTACATGTATTTAAATGTGTATATATATTATATATACATATCATACGTATATAATAAAATAAATATACATACGTATATATATATATATGTGTGTGTGTGTGCGAAACGTCTGAACAGACGTAAAACTTCGCTGGCCGCTTATTTTATTATATAATATTTTATTATTGCAGGGGATCACCGTGGTCCCGGGGGGGTCGGTGATCAACGAAGACACCTCCCCGGGACCCGTGTAAACGTACCTGCGGGACTTTGGTGGTGCACCTGGGCGCATTTAAGTCGCAGCTGGTGGCCACCATAGTCCCATATATATATATATACATATATATATATGTACATGTCATTTTTAATATAGCGACGGACATATACTTAGAACATCATTTTTCCAAAATATCGGAACCTCTTCTTAGAACATCAAAAGTACCATACTTAGAACATCAAAAATATTTCTAAGTATTCACTTAGAACATCAGAAAAACAGATACTTAGAAAATATCCTTTGATTTTTGCATACTTAGAACATTAAAACACACATATACTTAGAACATGTCCTGTTACTTTGGTAAATCTGCATATATACACACAAATACCTTGGTGAACACCATACTTAGAACACTTTCTCCCCTCACTGCTGCAGCATTATATACCTTTTCTTCGGGAACAATATCCCAAGCAGTCTTTGCTGCAATGGGAAGGTCTCTAGTAATTTGTGGGTTTCCTACAGGGGGTAGTCAAAAAGCATAGGTTTCAATACTAAAATGAGCTAAATGAATTATATACAGTATAGTTTTGAATGTTTTGGAGATGCCTCATTTATATATACATATATGTATGGTTCCCATTTGGTTCCCCACTGGGATGTTCTAAGTATAGCTTGGAAATGTTCTAAGTATAGGTTTTGGGTATGTTCTAACTACTTTTCTTGAAATCCATACTTAGAACATCCCCGCTGTGAAGATTTTCAGATTTTTTTTCCAAAGTATGTTCTAAGTGCATGTCCGTCGCTATATATATAGAATATATATATATAATTATATATATATACACCAGGGAGTATCATTTCTAGTTGCACGTTTTGGGATTCAGTTCCCATCGGATCACTCCAATGATCCAGTTCTTGTCTAGCGTGTGTGCGTATGTCTCTTGTGTACATGTGTGTGTGTGTGTGTACTTCTCCGTCTGCAAATGGATTTGTACTCTATTTATCTCTATCTATCATCTAGTCAAGTTTGATGGGGAGACACACCCCGGGTAAATGAATCAAATGAGTCCGCCTTCATGCTGGTTGCAATTTCCACCAAACTTCACTGTGTCTTTGATGGTGTTGATGCGAATTTCATGATGAAATCTGCCATCTTTGCTCCGTATCATGGCAAAATCTTGCCCCACATCGCCATGGTACTGTTGTATGCTGCCGTCAGGATTTGATCCTGTTTCTTTACAAAGGCCTCCAGCGAATTCACCTGCATAGCGAGGATTGGCAGATTGGCATCGCATGGCACCAGTTTGGTGGAAGTGTCATCCGGAACTGGCCAGACCCAGAGGGAACGCACCTGGCTCTGCAGAACCCCAGCCATTTTGAAGCCTTCATCCTTGTTCAGCATCTCCTTCCACGGGCAGAAAAGTTTCAAAGAGCGTAAGATGTTGAAGGCATCCAGGGAAATCCCGTGAGGCATACGAGAAATCATTCACTCCTATATCATATATCATTCCTATATGTCATTCTAAACTCTTGATGGTAAAGTAATAAACAGCGCAAAGCCTCAGGAATCAAAGGTCACCAGTGCATCAATAGTCAATAGTCAGCCCATATCTTCCTCATAGCCTGTGGTAATTCAACGGAAAAGCTATGGAAAATGGCCCAATTATAAATGTACTACCTATAAAAAGTGACCAGTTTCCATGGCAAAGCTTCAAATTACCGGGTATCTTCCGCATCTCCTGTAGCTCTTCTGCCGCCTTCTCGGCTTTCTCCAACCGCTCCTTGAGCTCTCCCTGGATGCCAATGATGTCCTACGCAAAGGTGGGATGCGGTGACCACATCACTCAGTACTGGGCCCCACAAGCTCTGGTGACTTTCAATGATCGATTCATGTTGGATAATTGTCATAGGCTTTCGATAAAAATCTCCCAACATCTCCCAAGCCATTCCTAAGGGGCTGCAGGTCAGCAGGGCATAGCAGGGCATAGCAGGGCTGCAGGTTTGGTCTCCCAGCATTTCCCCCAGCCTCCCGCAGTCTGTTGATGTCTGCACGAAGTCCAGCTTCCCAGTCTGGGAGCGTACGACTCTTCAGCTCGGCCTGGTGATTGCCTGAGCTGAGTCGCACATCAAAACTTTGCTGAGTCGGCCTGGTTAAAAAAATAATGTGTGCACGCTATGCATATGATATGCACATGATATGCATATGATATGCATATGCAAGTCCATATTCTGATTGTTCTGTATCTGAATGTATCTGAGCATGGGAAGCATTGGAAAGCGTTTATATGTTTCGTCCGAAGGCCCGCACAATCAGCCTGGAGCCCGCAAAAGTCACGAGAAGCAAAGTGCAGCCAGATGGATCTCAATGTGCCGAGTGGCTTATCTCGTCAATGGAATGGCGCAAAGCTTTCCTGCGGATGAGATGGTAGGTGATACTCATATATTGAGTTCAGTTCAAGGATGTCATGCACCCACTCTTGCTGACTAGATAGCCACTGTTGTTGTTTGTATACTGTCATTCTTGTTGGTTATAGATGTTTATAATTTATGATGTTATATGTAGTATATCTCTGTTTCTCTGAAAATTGTGCACCCCAAATCCATGGCTTGTAATTTTCCTGAATACTGTTCTAGGGTGCCCTCACCCATTTTATTGAGTCTTGGATCCCCCCAAAAAAGATGTATCAGACACAACTTTACGGAATTTTATGGAGTTCATTATAATCCCATATCATAAGCCCACTTTTTCCCATGTAACAATCACATATAATCATATAGTCACATCATAACCCCATTATAATCCCATCCTTTGTAGTTCCTAGCCATTCCCAGCCAGTGTCGCGTCCTTTCCGCCTCAGAGGATTTCTCCAGGGCAGCCAACTTCCTAGGGCACCATCTGGTAGCCAAATGTGGCATCTATAAAGGGAGGTTGTTATGGGGAAATCATCTATAAATGGTGGATGTCCATTTGCTGTCTGATTACCAGAGGGTAATAGTCAACTTTGATGATCATCGGAATATACTGGGACTGAAGTGAGGAAACCAACAATAACCAACCATGCCATAGTGAGAGTCCAACCAAAGAAATGTGGCCGTGACCAATGAAATCCAATGGAGAAAAAAAAAACGGGACGTCACCAACAAAGACTGGATGAACCGATCTCCTTTGGGGCGGGTACCTGGTTGCGCCAGTCATGGAGATATCCATAGTGGAGCAGATGGGAAACTGCGAGTTCCACTGCGGTGCCTCGTTGAAATACTGAGCAGCTCAACCGAAATGCAGCGGGAGACACTGCCAATCTTGAGACAATTGCATTTGACATTGCACAACCGCATCTAGAACCAAAAAATGAGCATGTACTGCATTCAGAACCGATATTCTGCTCGTCCAAGACTGCGTCAGCCAAGAATACCGGACCGCCAGCTTCTGTGGTGTTTCCCACCAAGTGCTGCCCTTTTACTCATATTCATAAATATTCAATATCTACATATATCTACTTTCATCCCCCAATGGAATTGGATGGACAACCTGTGGCCCTGTGGCGCCCAGTTGATTTTCCGAGCGTCTCATCCACGGTCTTCAGCGCTTTGCCCTTGGCGTCCACGCCAGCCTCGAGCGCTTCCAAGCGGTTGGCCAAGTCCTGGGTCGCAACAACGGGGCGGTTCTCCGTGCCACGGATCCTTTAAAATGCGGGGACCCGGGGAAGTTTAATGATGGTTGTATCTATATATATATATTATATATATAATATATATAATATATATATATATAATATATATATATAATATATATATATATATATCATTTTGCATCTTAATAGAAAGCCAGCTTTGGCCTGGCGGCCTGGCAGTCAACAACTTTTTTTTCCCTTCACCTCCTGCTCAAACCAGATTTTTGGCCGGCTCGACTGTGACACCCTCAGCATTTACAGTAATGTTGGAGGCAAGGTCCTAACTCCTAGCCATCAGGAATGACAATCTGAAACTCCACCCCTTGGCATCGCCCGCCTTCTTTTGCTCCTCGGTGCTGTCAGCGATGCTTTTCTTAAAGTCCTCCAAGTCCTGCACCAAAATCAAAAAATTGGAAGAGTATGGAAGAGCTTAGGATCCTCCAATGGCAATTGAAAAATCTCCCCCAATGGAAACTCCCAACTTCCTAAACTTCAGGGCTCGGCCCAGCACCTTATTGACTTTCAGCACTTTCTCCACCAGCAAGTTGTGGGCTTCCTGCACTAGGATGGAAGACCAAAGGGCGGTTCTCAGATGGTAAAAGGATGTAAAATGAAAGATATTTGAAGCACCAATCAGATCAGCTCAAGTGGGCCATGACGGCAATGACTTCAAGCAGCAAAAGCCATTGGGGAGTCATATCCAGTGTCCAGCAAACGTCAAGCTCGACCAAAGCATAGGGTGTGGTTTGATGTTGGTGAAACTGGACACGATGATTCACAATGATCCCGGCAACCCCGGGAAAAATCATTTCGGGAGGTCCATTCTGAGTCAATGATTGGTTGAAGAAAGAGTTTAGGGGAAAACCCTTGCTTTTCCCACCAAAGCTAGGGCCAGGTAGGGGGTTCCTGCAATATTTTCTCTAAAGATTTGGGGCTGAGATCACCCAGACTCCGTCCAGCACGCCATTGATGCCCGTGTCAGCAGTGACTCGGATTTTCTCAGGCACCTGGCTGGTGGGAGACCACCTATGACAAGCCGAGCTGGTGCCAACCCATCCTGCAAGGATCCATGAACCACAGGTGGATGCCACTGGTTAGGACAGTGTGAACTTACCTGGAGGATTCTGGAAGAAATTCACGACTTTGAAGATTTTGAGATGGTCTTCACGTGAAATATGTGGATGGTGCAACACACTCTTGAACATCTTGATCTTGGGTTTTTCCTGACAATGTAAAAATGTCCCAAGTAAACAAGATGATTTCCATGGATTTTCAGCCACTCTCAGGTTCAATTACCTGGACTGATCTCATTTGTGATTCTAAGGTCTCCTTTTTGGTGCTGAAATGTTTGTTTACGCTTGGACCTTTTATTGAACTTGCGAGGGGTCATAAAAGTATCATGTACGTCCAATAATTTCCCCAAATGATGGATCATGGTGGATCAAAAGATCGGATAAAAAAACCGTAGCTTCAGCAAATCCACGATTTGATGGTAAAAAAATAATCCCTTCCCCCTACTACTAAAGATCCCCCAGAGCCAACAAGGTGGTTTAGTAGGGGATCAAATCACATATTTAATTATGTGGGATCATAGAATGGGATATCCATTCTATAGTCTCGCTACCCATATGGAATTTCCAATCAATATCCCATATATTCCATTAACAGATATTAAATATCAATGGCATAAGGATTTTCAGTCACCCACCCACAACCACCTGCAAGGTCCGGGCCTCATCTCCGGCCTCCTCTCCCGCCATGGCTGCGGCTTGGGCCAAAACGGCTTGGGCCAAAAAAATGTGGCGGGCTTAGGTTCCTCTGCTCAGTAACAAAGGGAACCATATATGATATTGCCATCAAGTTTCATGTCGTTGTGTAGCGTGCTTGTTTTCAAACAATAAGTTCTTCAAAATTCATTGGGATTCTTTCAAAAAGTCACCCAACCATGACGTGAAGAAAGCTCCTTCCCAAAACTGGAAATCACCAACAACTATCGTTTGCGAAAGACACTCGGCCCAACCTATATATATATACATAATACACACACACACACACATATATATATATATATAATTGATTGATTTATTTATTGATTATTGATTTATGTATCTATCTATTTATTCGTTTAATCAACTATGGCATTATATAATATTATTTATCTATTTATATGTGTCTTGATGTATTTAGTTAACTATTTAATCGATTTATTCGTTTACTTATTTATGTTTATGGTTGTGTTCATCAAATTCTACCCCAACCTAATCAAACATCATCACGAAGGATCAAAGGATTCCCAGAAAACATGGTTGAAGTTGAAACAACGCAAAACTCATTGAGATCACAAACGTCTCCGGCATTCTGAGTTCTTACTTGGTGCACACACTTCGACGTGTGAGTCCTGCGCGTTCACGTCGAAGCCCCTCTTCAGCAGCTCAATCACGTCCTGCCCATCCAAAGTGTTTCCAAATGGGGCAAGACAAATGGCTTCTCCAACTGAAATAAGCGAGGTTTGTGGATGTTTGGAAATGGAAATAAGCTGTTTTGGTAGATTTTACGGGTCGGAGAGCCAATAGACGTACCCCGAAGTTAGAATTCCTCGAATTTTTTTCGGTCGTGTTTTCAAAAGTCAACGGGCTCAACGCCAGAGTCAAGAAACTATTCTGCAAATACATTCTGCAATCAACAAATACTAGACTATTTCTTGAGCTGCAGAACAGCAGCCGCCGCGGTCGCCCAGTACCAAGCAGCAAAAGCTCTCTGGCATCCCTGGATATATGAGCATCCCAGCATCCCCTTTCTGTAGTGCATCTGTTTTACATCATTTTAAATCTATCTGTGTGTGACAAGCTCATATGATTTGGCGTCTCCGTGCTGGTCTCCTCCATATGGCAATTGTGGGCTGCCAGGTGTAGGGAAGTGCATCCAAAGACGTCCCTATGATCTGGCTGGGCATTCCTTGGTATCTGCTGCTGCCAAGTGCTTTCTATACCAATCTACGGAGGCCACACAAAAGTAAAGTAAAAAACAGGAGGGAAACCCTGTGTCTTATATTTCCGCCGCAGCCAGGCGACTTGATCAACTCTGCCCGTTTCTCGGCTTCTTCAATCTGCTCACGTGCGCGTTGGATCATCACGGGGTTGGTCACATCCAGCTTGATCTCCATGCCTCCTTGAGTGATGCGCTTGGTGGCTACGGAAGCGAGGGCTATGGGTCAAATTCCCTAAGATCCGGCGACAATAGGTCTATCTCTGCACATGTCATCGATGGTCATTGAGTCATCAACCCTCAAAAAGTCCATCCAAGGCTACTAGAATATGAATCCCCCAGGTAAACAACCCCTTTTGATACGTGGTGTCATGGTGTCAATTCACCTTCATCCTGAGTTCACTTGACTTTACCCATGTTCCGGAGGTGGCATCCTTGCTGCACTGGAGTGGTCTTGGTGTCGGCCACCTTCTCTTCGACCTGGAAGAAAATGTTTGATGGTGGAAGGACAGCATTTCCCTGGTGGCAGGGCCGGGAAAAAATGTTTCTGTGATTTTCTATGCAACCTTTAGAGTCCTTCAATCTCGGAGTCTGTTCCTACAATATCTAAAAATGATTATTTGAGAAGTCCAGAAATGAAATAAAATAAGTGGATTGGGAATGCCTCCAGCCCATGCTGTGAAGTTGAACGTCCGTCTCACAGCAAGAAAATGCTGAAGTTTGGCCTTACTCTCCAGTTGCATCCCCCAAGAGTCAAAGTGGAACGTCAGCTGGCTTTGGAAAATCACATGGCCGATTCTCAAAATTCTCAAAAGTCCCTTCCCCATCTTCCCAAAAAAACCAGCCATTACCAGCCCCAAAAGATCCAAAAGCATCCCACTTCTTTTTGAGACCTGGATCCCACCGTCAGTTTGACCTCTAGTGACTCAGTCGTGACGCGTCCCATTGGAGCACCTCCTTGGCATCGTCCTCGTCGTCCTCGTCATGTGTTTCAATGATCTTCTTGGCTGGCGAGAGCATGGGGAGCAGCAGGGAGCGTGTCCTGGGGGACATGATGACATGACCAGGAGCTGACTTTGAAGGTGTTGATTGATGAGTCGTGCGAGTCATATGGACCTCTCCTAAAATTGTGGCAGCCCAAAAGCATTCTAGTTTCCCTGTCAAAAACGATCAGTCTTGGATGATTTTGGATCCCAAGAATTAAGAAACCTCCACATATCATGTGTCACCAGGAACACCTCCCTCCGTGGCCAACAAAATTGAGCCAAGAATTTCTCCACGTACACAACCCTGGTCCGAGGAGCAGCCCAAAACTTACCAACGCGGTAAGCCATGCCAAAAAATCCTTGGCAGTTGCCGCAGGGAGCACCAGGGCACCAGAAAGTATGCCAGTGGTTTGGTTGAGGTTTCGGGCCGGGGCCCTGCTGGCAAGCTTTCCTGTTTGTTCACTGGCATGTAACATGTAATTACTTTCCTGCGGATTGGGTGAATTGGAGCCACCACACTGATTCCACATATACTCATATACCTAAATGGATGCTCCTATGCTATGCAAGGTCAATAAAAGGGCCATGAAAGGCGTATGCAATGGGCAAATCCAAGATGGGGTGGAAAAATGGCACAGTTCGCCCCCAATTTAGGATAATTTAGGCACCCATTTATCACATGTTGTCTGGTTTTACCGAAGGCGCCATCAGAATTGACAATCCACTTGCTCGATCCATCCACCTTGTGTGTGGTTGAAACACATCAAATGGATAGTGTCATTGCCGAGTTCGCCCCATCTCCACCTAGTCTTGGAAATATAAGATGCTTGTCAAGTCAAGTAAACGTACGTAGTAAACATCTGGTTGAATCATAATCATAATGCACCCACCTGAAAGAAGACTTCATGTGCCCCGGTTGCAGCGATGGCGGGCACAATCGAGACACCAAAAAAACGCCGTAAAATGTCCCAAAAACATGTTATGATGTTCCGGTGCTCATTTTCATTGGCCTGTTTAGCAGGAAAAAAAACATCTTCGAACTGTTACAGGGCGGCAGGGACATCTGAAAAAACCATCATTTCAGCTGCGGAGTTTCTGCTCGGAACTCCCGGAGGGAGGCGCAAAGGTCCATGGAGACGCTGGTAGCAGAGCCCCTAAGCAGAGCCCCTAAGCAGACCCCAGATCCAAATCCTCAGCGCACCATGGCAGGCACCAAGCAGCGTGCATGGCGGTCTACGAATCGATGGAGTTCAGGGACCTGACACAAAATAAACATCGGAAACATGCAAAAACCATTCCAAAAAAATGATAAAATGATTTTAAAACGATATAGAACACGCAAACATCTTATGCAAATCATCACAACTCCACTTCCTGACTAGGGCTTCGGTTGCTGCCACTAGAAGTCGAGCAGCAAATCCGCATACAGAAGTGCGAGGCCTGTCAAAGTCTCCTTCTCTTTGGGTTTCATCACCTGGCCCGACATGCTCAGCTCCGGATTTTCGGATGAAAAATCTCCTGGGATCCGTAAATGGGTAAAGCAACCCACAAAATGATAGAAAACTATGTAATTTATCACTATCTCAGTGGGATTATTACTGTTCTGTCTTGTTTGATTCTTTTGGTTAATATATGGTAATTTTGGTAGTGCCCTCCACCAAATTCTAGCATCACACTGTCGAAATTGCCCCACCTACCCCACCTACCTCTCAAATTTGGGACATGTTCACTTGCCATAAATGTGATTTAAACATCGTCAAACATTTCTTTCGCTGCGATCATAACGTAGGGATTCTTCAGGGAAATGTTGCACATGTTGCAGGAAACCGGAAACCAGCGCTGTTCTCCCCAAATTCAGGTCTATGCTGGCATCAATGGATTGAACATGATTCAGAGAAAAAGGGCAGAAAAAAAAAACGAGCGGGAATTCAACTGCAGATTTTCCGGGTTTCCCCTTCCATCATCTTCCACCATCTTCTAACGGATCAGCGTTTTGTTCCCCAAGAACTTCAGGCCGCGGCGCAGTGTCGATCGCATCCAGGGAGTCGGCGGCCTCGGCCTCCAGCAGATTCAGGGAAGCCTCCTCCAAGTCCAGGCGTTGATCCTAGCACCGGTGACCACCGTAGCACCATAGGAGTTGGAGCTATTGATGTGGGCAACCCATGGCAACCCTGGCTGGGGATGGTTTCAATGCAACAGAAATGATGATTTTGAGGATGGTTTATTATTCGGGTTTACCACATTCATCTTTGAAGATCATAATCATCGTCATAATCGATCATAATCGTCATCTTCGTCATGATTGATCGTCATTGTCCATGAGAGGTGGAGTCAACTCCCACTGACTCTCCATACCTCAACCCACATCTCCCGTCGCATCTGCAGCGGAGCTTCGGAAAAAGACTTCCTGCCATAGACTCGGACAGAACTTTGGAACAGAGCCTCCGCGTCGTGAATCTGACACTCTGGCAGCTGTTCGTTCCGATTCACATCACCTTTCCACCACGAACCCCCAACAGCGATACTAATCCTTCCAACCTGGAAGTTCAGCATCTTGTGATAGTAAATGATAGTAAGTAGTAGTTATCTTGCCTTCACGTCCCACCATCAATACAAGGAGTCTTCACATCTCACCATCAGTGTGTGTGTGTGTGCCTTGTGCGTCATGTATGTAGCAATTAATTATACCTAGCGTAGTAATCACACCGTGGCCTTATATGTGGCACTAATTGCAGCCCCACTAAGAGTCGATTGCAAATCGCCACGATTATTGGATGGTAATATTTCCAATCCCGATTAACTCCCATTTAATTGGTGTATAAACTCCACTAAATATATAGATAATTATAGATACCTTAGGATAAACTAACGGAGATGTGGAAAGCCCATGGTTTCCCGTTCCGAGGATCATCTACAAATGGTTGATGTTCCACATCTTTCTGTTTAGCCTAGGGTATATCATGATATCTATATATATATATATATGTACATACCATGTGTATCCCAATAAATCACCATAGCTGCCATAGTTGTTGGGCAAATCCAATATAAATCCCACCCCTAGGGTGACCCGTGGCCTCACCCTTGGCCACGTTGGGCTCACCCAGGGCGAAGGCAGAAAGGACAAGGACCGACACGAATGGAAGCCTCGGACTTAGACATCCCATGGAATACATACATATATATTTAAATATATATATATATATGTATGTGTGTGTATGTGTATATATATATACATATACTATATCGATATGATATATACAGTACGCACATACACATGCCGCTTTTTTTTCATCTGCATCTGCGTATCAACATACACTTGCATACAACACACATATATTTTTCATTTACATGTATATATATATATACTGTGATATGTTTGCATGTGTATATACATATATACATAATTATACATATATGGTTATCCTTGTTTACGTCCCAATTATAAACGGGAATATCCTACGATATCCTAGTTCCCAGCCACTGAGGGATAGCCCCAGAATGCTTGGTAGCTCACGGCTTGGGAAGATATCGCTGCAGGATTCCCTGCTAAGACCAGGCAACTGTTTTTAATCGACGCTGTCACACTTGCCTTTTATGACATATGGCCTCACTGTTGGATGCAGAGAAACATTGTGACATGTCTCAGGAAAAGAACTTGTCCGCACATACAAGTCTGAAGACGATGAATTGGCGGCTGTGAGCCTCTTGAAGAAATCACCTACTGTACATGGAACTACTTGTGGTAGCAAATACAAATCATAATATCAAAAAAAATACCAGTGAGTGCCCCAACTAAAATATCACCAATGAGTGCCCCATATAATCATGTTAAGCCCTGCAGGGCAGCGCCCTCCATGCATCGTAGAAGCATTGCCCTATCACGGAGTCCTGCAGTGCCCAGTTGGACCCAACCAAGCCACACGCATAGCATAAGCGGCATAACTGTGGCACTCACCAAACAACGACCAAAAATGGACAGACTCACCGTGACTTACCAATTCCTATTCACAAATATTCACAAATCCAAGTTTTTGGGCGGCCCGTGCCTGCGTCACACTCAAGAGGTGGTTTGGTTTTCCTTTTCTTGAGCCGACACAGCTGACAGAGTCGCATCATCACGCACTCCTGGCTAAAGGAGTTGCTGGTAATGCCACCCTTTGGTGTTGCAAAATCTTCATAGTGTTGCCATCCTTTGTCCCCTTTCAAGGAAACCACCAGCACTTAACCCAAAAAATGGCTTGCCAACACCGAATTCAACGAGCTGAAAGGCTGTCCGACCTACAATCCACAGTCATCTCAAAGATGGTTTCCCTTGGTTTCCCTACACAGTTTCCTTTAAATTTGACCAATCTTCATAGGATTACGGTGAGTTTCCGGGCGTCTCTTGAGGCGGCGGAGCCTGGACTTGTGGCTTGGGGATTGCAGGGGCAACTGTCAGGACCGCTGGAGGTCGGTCCTGAATTGCAAGGATTGGAAGGACCAAGAAAAGAGGTGTGAATATAGAATGAACAAAAATGCATAGTAATCAATCATAGCGAATATGAATATATATAACATTATATATATAATATCATAGTAATCTATCGTAATAATAAGAATGATGATGCAGTATCGAACCCGTCTCTGCCATATCTTGACATCTCCTCACCTGCACATCATTGCGTTCTGGCGCTGCACTGGGCAGCGCTTTCGAAGCAAAGGGACCCACCTTGGCAGCCACAAAGCCTGGAACAATCCAGTTGTCAATAAATATGTGCTCCATGCATTAAGTAGATGTATTATATAAATATGTGTATATTATATATATATAATCATAATTATATCTATATATATAATTATGCATATATGTATGTGTGTATATACTGTTCAATCTGCTTTATTGAATCATATTTTTTAAAAAAAAAAAAAGTTACAAAAATGTCATATTTGTGTAAAATCTCATGTCATATTGATTTAAATGTCCTTGCCGAAAAGTTCAGCTCCTTTGACAAACATGGAATGCTGGGCCGCCAGACCCAGGCGGGTCCTACCTCGCCCTGCGGAGGCGCCTCTGACAATGGAGGTGTCAATGAGTAAAGCCTGGAAAATTCATGGGGAAATCTATGGAAACCCCATGAAACCCCTAAGAAATGATGGTTAAATATGGTGAAATCATGGAAAAATGTGGAATTGTCCAGCAAGTCATGTCTCAGTACCAAAGGTTAAGAGATGAAAATGGATGAGATTATGGATGACCATATCTTAGAAACAGCTCATACCATGAAAACTGACGAAAATCATTGACAAAATGACGGCACAACTGCAATAAGTAAACTTGCGAACAATGATTGCGAAACTTGGATCAAAAGTGAAAATCGGATGACGATGGGGGTATTCACCCCACGTCCAAAACCACCGATTAAGCCCAGGACTTCCAGCAAGGCTTCCCAGGAACCTCTGCCGGATGGTTAGTAGTTTCAACCAGTAGAATGAGGGTGTCGTCATGGGGATTTCATATGGGGATACCATCCAAAGTAAATAAAGAGAGAGAGAGAGAGAATGGAAAGTGCAAAAAAAGTCTTACACATGCACCGAATTTACCAGCTAGACCAGGATTCCAAGTCAATGAGCTGAATAAAAAACATCTTGGAAACCACCCAGACACATGTGCCAGCTGCTTCCATGTGCTTTGTATCATCTTCCGGGCATTGCACCAACAGCAACGTGGTCTTGAACACATCTACAAGTCCTTGAGCAGCAAGAATTCCCCATAACCAGAAAACACGAGCCTGAAGTGGTTAGCACCCTGCCTCTGAGATATCCCTGGGATATCAATTGGATAGCCCCGCTTCGGCATCCCCAGTCCTCCAGTGTACCCCCAAGATGCTGGCCATCGCCAAGCACGGCTGACTTCGCAAAGCTCTCCTCCATGTGCCAGGCGGGGGAGGTAGCTAAAGTGGCCGTGTAGAAATATAGATGTACGCATCGAACATAGATGTAGGTATAGGCCGGTATAGGTATCGGTATAGGTATAGATGGACAGATGCACAGATGGACAAAAAAAATGCCGCAGCTTGGGCCTGGTAGTAGCCCAAGCCCATGGATCCCAGCTTGAAAGCCCAGCCAGGCAGTGCACCTGGACCAGGGATGGCCATGGGACCTGGGGGAGGATTCTCTGTGTGGGTAGTGTCAGCTCTCGCATATAAAATGCCTCTCCTTGGCTCCGAAGTGAAGTGGGTTGGTACAAACATCTCTTCCCGCGCCATGTCGCCCTCTGGGAAAAATGGGCCTTGAAAGTGATCAGAAGCTTTGAAGGGAGGACCAACAGGGGGCAGCACCTTCAGCTCACCACAGTGCGGTTCCCAAGGACCCAGATCGGCCATGTTTAGGACTGGGGTGTCTAGTTTCAGGGTCGTCATAACTAATACCATGTCAATCCTGGAGAGCAACTGCCGACCCTACATGCTAAAGAAAATGCGCACGCACGGGTGAAGAGGCTGACAGTACAGTAAAATGTGACCACAGTGGTGCCGCAGCTACCCATGGGATGGTTTCCACACCTTCAAAACAGGTGGTGCCACTGGGGTAGGCTGCTCTAACCTGGATGAGACCGGAATGGAAGTTGGGGTGGCCCCAGCTTCAGAATCAAAGAGGATGACCAGAGGAATGTGGATGCCTTCAAATCTGTTTATCAAAATTGGGATGGTGTAGAGTTGCAAAAAGCTTCAGGGCGAAGGATTTGCGTTCAAATTTGGTTCGCCACACCATAGGTTGATGATCTGTAAATATCTATACATAAGTTACATAGGACTGAAGGGGATGAAGGGCCATCGACTTGGACTAAAATGACCAAGATCTCTAGGTGTCCGGGTTTAGCATTTCGACTCACAACTCTTGTCAGCCGGCCATGACATAAGTGGGTGATCATCCTCGGCATCCCAAGTGCTCCCGCCTGGCCAATTCAGCAGCTGGAACCAGATTCGGATCCACCCCGTGGGCCGTGCAAAGCGCCTGAGGCGAGATTTCCTCGTGGATCATCAACCTGCCTATGTTTCGCAGGGGGAAATGAGTTTTGCCTCATGCGCCAGTGTTACTTCTTGAAACATCTTTCAAACCTATATAAAATTCTTTGTTGAGCAGATTTTCGTGGTCCATGTCATCGTGGACAAGCGTTTTCGCTGCCTCCTCATTTCGCGCCAGACCCATGTCGATGGCTCTCTTCACTGGGATGATCAGCCTTGGCTAGGGAGCTCATGGCAACCCTGAATAAATGGAAATATTTCGGGATATTGATTGATATGATGAAATGATGAAATATAATGCATACAATTACAATGATGACATGTAATGATCATATAACATATACTTACATAATTATAATGACATATGATTGATATACACTATTTTGTGTGTGTGTCTGTCCATCTGTCTGTCCATCACTGGTGGAATCACTGCGCCCCGGCTGGCGCATGGCATCTGCGATGAAGCTGCTTGGGATGTCTGACCTTAAGGCATTGCCGCTGAACCACAGAGAATAGGATTGGTCGCGACGCTGTGGCATTCCATCTCTTTTGGGGATGCTAGTAGTATTGAGAAGACTTCAAGAGATACTTTGGTTAAATATTGTGTATATATATATATATATGTGTGTGTGTGTGTACGTACAATCAAATCCTTTCTTGGTGGATTGTTGAAGTTATTAAATGTTTATCGAAAGATGGGCTGCTGCCAAATGAAATATCTCGAAACAGTTCCTTCCGTTCCTTCCTGCTATTGCTATCTCGTACTTTGAGGTCTTGAGCGCCATGTTCAACGCCTGTGACAGTCCCAGTAGGAGCAACTCTGGGGCTTGACACTGCAGTTTGCTCAGCACACGGCCGGCCTGGCACATCTCTAAAGCTGCCGCTGAAGATCTGGTGCTGTGCGCAAACCCAATGCCATAAACCATCCCCAAATCATAACCATTTTTATGGGTGGTATACCGGTATAGCCCATCTCCAAATGGTAGGATTATGGCATTGGGTTGCCCACATTCGTGCAAACCGGTAAACGAATACTTCAGAACACTCATGTCCAAGGGCCTGCCTCGGCAGGCGAATGAACATGTGTGAAAAGCCCAGCCTTCCTCTTGGTTGTCTCTTAAAATGGGGGGGTCCCCAAAATGGAGGGTTCAGAATGGAAAATCCCATTAAAATGGATGCTAATAGCATTTCCTTCCACGGCACTGCATTCTGACCCTGGCTCAAGCCACCGGCCTTGTAGCAGCAAGTCTCTCGCAAGCCTAGCGCCGCGTAGCCCCAACGAGGTGATCATACCACTGACCCACTTGGAATTTGGTGGCAGCTGGTAGCTGTTCTGGGTGGCAACCCCAACCATAATGTAGAGGAAATTGCAAGGGGACTCCACTGATTACCATATTTTGTAATTGGTCAACCTGTCTCTTTCCACCTCAGACACAACCCCCATATGATATCGCTGTCCAGGGCGGCCCACTGAGCGTGGAATCTGAGTTGAAGCTGACATACGGCCCTTCCAAGTCCTGCATCACTGGGGGCAGTGCAGGTAGGCTCACCATGAAGCAATCTTTGTCGGGCAGTGTGTACCAACCTATCATTGTTATCATAGTATCAACAGATCAATCATATCACTATCACTATCCATGGTCCATATCTCAAACACCTTCCATGCCACCGCACTCCCACCGCCATCCTGAGCGAACTTTGCATAAAGCCGCACCAGGTTCCCACCGATGTCGTACTCTGCCTGGCAGGTGCCAATTTGAGGACCAAATGGGAGTCCTTCCACAACTGCCAGGCTAGAGAAAGGATGGGAACCTACCTTACCCTCCAGTCTCCAGTGAAAAATGCCTCAGAATTTCTGGAAAAAGTCATATCCTCGCAACCTGCCAAGCTTCCACAAATGGCCTGCCTGCAAACCATCGCCCAGCTGGAATGCATCTGACCTGGCCATCACCCTCTGGCGGATGGCCATCAAACTCCCCGTCTGGCCGTGGACTTGGACTGCCATGCCGTTGTCGAAACGGATGCAGAGCTCCTGGGCCCGGCTCCCGGTGAACAGGTCGGTGCAGGGGGCTGGTGTTCAATGGTGTTCATGCAAGGTTGTGCCTTCTTTTGCCATGGTCTTGTGAGAGAAGCCTTGAGATAGCCAAAAACAACTACGGCTAGTCGAAAAAACTGAAAATTACCATACAGAATTTCCTGAGGTGCCAAATTTTGACCTACAGGATGGGTTTGCTTCACGCAGCCTTGCACCTTGCAATGCCCCACGTGCATGTCTATGTTTGTGCCTTGTTGCCTTTCACCTAGACGCCCAAAGAGTACAACTGTAGCTTCACTATGGTCTGTGGTTCCCACAAACTCCTTATATCTTCTGATATGAAGAATAATTACTTGAGATCAAATATGATCAAGTGGGGATCATCATATTTCCCTCTTTTTTTCACTGAAATCATCAACCAGCATGTCTGGGATCACGGCCTCGGCATTTGCCCCGAGCTGCCCCAGCCTCAGCGAGTCCCACCTTGAACACCTAGCCTTGTGTTGGAGGTCACCTTGTTAAGACCTGAGGAAATCACCAGGAAGTCCATGGGGATGGGGGGATGGGGGATGTTTATGGATTTTTTCCACTGATTTTGGGGGATGGGGAAGGAGAAGTCGGCCCATCTCTGTGAAAACCATCTTGCACGCTCAGCTTGTCCAGCTGCTGCACCTTTTGCCTTTGGGATTTGGCATGGGGCCGCACACCACACCCATCCTGGCCACCCACGTAAGGCAGGTGACTGACTGCCAGGGATGTCTGTTGCCTCAGGCAGTGGCAAACAGGTAAAGAATCCAATGCAAGAACCAATCTTTCCAAGCAATTTAAGCCCTCAGTTTCCGGCATTGCCATGGACAAGCCCTGGATTTATCGAAAATCTGTCCTACCAAAACCTCCACCTATAGGGGATTTTCCATTGCCATGTTTGATTACCGGAGGCTGTCATATTCGCTCCTCAAATGCGAAGTTCTCTATATATATATAACATGGGTTGAAAAGTGCTGGCTCGGCTGATGAAGGCTCATGCCTCAACCTGTTTCATTTCTCCTCCTCAAAGCCACATCCGAGGAATGAAAATTGGTTTAACATAAAATGCTCTAGGTGAAATCACTCCACGTCAATCTTCTTCACCATCCACCATCCCCAGATCATCCCCATGACCTTTGGCCAAGACACCAAGCGTCGCACCGCAGGGCTGTGATACGGCTGCCCGGGTACCCAGCTGTTCACCGGTGAGCTGCGTCTGGCCCGAAGCCTGCGTGCTGCCTCTGCAATGCCCGCATTGCTCGGGGCCGCCTCGGCGGAAACGTCGCGGCAAGTGTTGCCACGGGATGTTCATCTCCAAATGAGTTTAGAAATGGGGCACGCCCCGAAATTTGAAATATTGGCAAAAGTGGGAAAAATATGAAGAAAAAAAAAGATCACGCACCCAAGGTTTTGGTGGTTTTTGATCAATGAAGGAGCATCCCAAATGGAACGGGTTATGGGATCGAAAGGCAAGCGTATATCATCCAACCTTGGATACACATATTGAAAGTCCACTGGGATTATCATCGAAGGTTTTTGATCACAGGGTTGATTCTGGGTTTTGATCGTGTCGTTTGGCTCATGGCAATGCATCCCATGTCTATGGATGGGCGATAACACATGTTTGAAACCAATGCCATAGACCATCCCCAAGTCATCACCATTCAGCACCAAAAAAAAAAACTCAATCCCCATATGGCATTGGGTTCCCCACATTATAGATGATTTTTCCAGCTATCAACCTCCATGTATAGACGATTTTCCCATATAAAAATAGATGGTTTCCCCCATTTTTCTCCATGATTTCTCCATCCGACAGGCCTTCAGCGCCAGGTTGATGTCTACTTCCGCCTCTTCTAGGCGCTGTAAAGCCTCCAGGGCCAAGGCTCTCCGGTAGAGGGCCTTCACGCGGAGCTTCTCCTCCCAGGAATTGAGTTTTTGCTGGGAGATCCCCAGTAAAATCGGGGATTCTGTGTACTTGTGTGTGTGTGCGCATTCATTTGTGTATCTACTTGTTTATTTATCTATTTGAAATTTATTTGCTTATTTTACGTTTTCTGTGCAATGATATTATTAAATGGAAAAATCTCTTATCAGTCAGCCTATGGTTATGACGTCGAGAGACCTTCATTCATTGGAAAATCGAAAATAAATAAAATTACGAAAAAGAAACAAACCAAAAAAACAAACAAAAAAAATCCGCACCAAAAAAAAAACAAACCAAAAAAACAAAAAAAACAAAAGAAGAAAACAAAAATAAATAAATGAATAAACAGCGCACGGTCTGAAACTCAGAGAGACTTTGTGCTTCTCCGCAATGGCCGCAGCTTGTTGATACCACTTGCTCTCAAAGTCCACAGTCTGCTGCGTTGCCTGCTGCCAAGCTTCGACCCAAACTCCCAAAATCCAACAAGGGCTGCCTAGTCAAAGCTTCAAACAGTGCGCCCACTACCCTTGATGGGGCCAAGCAATCAGTCTAGGGGGTGCCCCGGCGGCTCGTGGTACACTTTTTTTTTTGTGTTTTTTTTCTCCTAGGGAGTACCACGAGCCGCCGGGGCACCCCCTAGACTGATTGCTTGGCCCCATCAAGGGTAGTGGGCGCACTGTTTGAAGCTTTGACTAGGCAGCCCTTGTTGGATTTTGGGAGTTTGGGTCGCAGCTTGGCACCAGGCAACGCAGCAGACTGTGGACTTTGAGAGAAAGTGGTATCAACAAGCTGCGGCCATTGGGGAGAAGCACAAAGTCTCTCTGAGTTTCAGACCGTGCGCTGTTTATTTATTTATTTATTTTTGTTTTCTTTTTGTGTTTTATTGTTTTTGTGTTGCTGTTTTTTGTTTTTTTTGTTTGTTTTTTTTTGGTGTGTTTTTTTTGTTTGTTTTTTGTTTCTAATTATTAAGCATTTTGTGTCATAAGCCTATGGATTCTGTTACTCGGGAAATCCCCGGGTGTTTGTTTGTTGCCAGGTTTATGTAATTGGAGAGTATGGAGAGAATGAAAGCCATTGGTGCCAAGTTTGTTTCTGGCAATCATGAAGTGAAATTTTATCACCCAGCTATGTGGGTTCGGCGAATGCAAGAGTACATTCGAGTACATTAGAATGTTTGGAATGATTTGATGATTGCCAGTTGCGGCAAGACCAGACATCTACACCCAACCCTGCAGATCATTGCGGATCCCTTCCGGAAACATCACCTGCCCCCAAACATGGCAATGGAAAGTCTCAATATTCAATCGGGAAATATAGAGAACGCATTTCCAAATCAGGGCGATTCATGTCCAAAGGGAAAAAAAATCCCCGTCCTCACAGCTGCCAGCGAGGACAGCGCTGGCATCCGCTTCCGCGGCTTCCCAAGCCTGGCTTTCATGGCTCAGTTCACCGTCATCCCCTAGGGCAGGGTTACCACATTGGCTCATCATTCGCATCAAAGGGGCTACAGCTACTATGACCCCCCCATAAGACCAACAATGGGTTGAACGTGGAATTGGAGGGATGTGGAGGGATTTCCCATGCTCTGTTTTGACATCACCGAAGGGTATGTCACGAATATTCCATGAATGTTCCATGATTATATATTTTTTATATTCCATTTATAGTCCATGAATATTCCATCAATAGTAACCTAAAATTTCCCAACCCCCCCAATATTGAACACCACCTAACTGGTCCCAAATATGTGTAAATCCCCTACAAAACAAAACTAGAATTTCTGGGGGGGGTAGTCACAAAAAAAGGGGGGGATGGATCGATGCATTTGGTGATGATTGATAGGTAAATGACCTACCCAATATCGCTGGTAAGGTTTATCCCCATGTTTGATGTCATATCCCTCGATTTCGATCACTATGAATTCATAGCGTCCTGGGATGTTTCCTGTTGCGCCTCCAAGTGCAAATGCGCCAAGGCCCGGTTGCACCTAGACAACTGGAGGTGACAATTTCATGATATAAAACTGGTGGCCTTAAATATCTTAAATCAGAATGTCAATGGATTGGTTGGAAGAAAATTCTGCAAGGAACTATAGTTTTTTTTAGTAATTATAGAGATGTCCTCGTCTAAATTGTCCCATTATCCAATTCTAGGAGAATGAGGAAACCTTGAACACTGCGTGACATTAACCATGAAGATTGGGGATATTATGTGCATAACATGTATTATATAACTATATAGCAATTAAAAGGATTTAAAGGGACTTAACTAGCCAATAGGGTGTTGCAATTGGCATATGCTGATTGCCGAAAATTGGGAAGCAAAAAACCTCACAAACGTCCTTCCTGGGGAATTCATGTTTTAAATCATATTCCGACATCTTCCCATCAACCAATGGTAAATCCATAATCTAACCTAGCAAGATGGGGAAAATTTCCCGCACGGAAAAATCGAGAAAAAAACTGTTTAGGGCTGGCACCAGAGGGACGGCAACAGCTCTCTGCCATCGATCTGCTCGATCGCTTCGCTGTAGCAGGCGACAGCCTCCTGGCGGCTGTGGATGAGTTACCCCCATTGAAACAGTAGGGACTCTCCTTTTCCCAAGGTAAATTGTGGGTAAATCCGGTTGTGAAAGGGCAAGCAAAATTCCCAACCCACGGAGTTACAACAAATTTCTTTGGGTGCCCAAGTTTGACATGCAAGGATGGGTGATGCCGCCTCTTGCACGATTCTACGTTATCAAGCAAGGGGCCCACAAAAGTAGACCAACATGGATTTCCTGTTTGCCTTCCAGAATCATGCTATGGGCTATGATACTATAAAACATGGATTCTCAAGGGATATCCCTTCTACACAGCCGTCTTCCGTTTGCGGAGCTCTTGCGTTTGAACATGTTGGAACTGGGGTGAAAGTTGTTTTTTTGGGCACGGTTCCTCATATTCCTCCGACCCTTCCTCCAAAACAACAGGGCCATTCATCCTTCGATCCGTGTCCTGAAAGTCCTTCCGTCGTACAGCAGCATCCCCGCGCTCTTTGGCGCGGGCCCCCATGGCGAGGGGCTACCCTGGGCTTGGTGGGTGGTAACTATGGGTACCACCGGTACCACCCCCTAATGTTTGGGCTAGATTGGAAGTTGGGATGGATATGAAATGGTCATGACCACCATCAGCGCTGCCGGAAACCACGATTTTTTTCGCCAAATCTGATGTGTCCAGTGGGTTTTCCCTGGAACCCATCGTGGGACTTCATTGCGCACCTGCAGTGCCACTTCTTTGCAACACGGTGCCGGTCCCAAAAATCCGTCCTTCCACGATTACTTACAATGCTGATTTGGGATCTTTGGGGATGGTTCCAACTAAGCCTTGGGGGAAACAAACCTATAGTCATCGGTATAACCGGCCACCGCAGAATTTGCAAGTCATTCAATCTCCTCAGTTTCACTATTTGTGTCCATCATGCGGCCAAACCTCATCACCAAGTGCCTAGTCATGTCTTTGATTTGGGCGCAGCTGCAAGTTTGCAAAGGGATATGTTGAGGCTGTGTTGGTTCAAAACAGGGATCCTCATCATCACCAGCATCATTATGATCACATTTCATAATATTAATAATAATAACAATAAATAAGAACAATAACTATAATAACAATAACTGAACAATGAAAATTAAAATACTAAAAACACTAATATATAAGAATCATCAGCAGCATCATCACATCACCACAGCACCACATCGCCACATCGCCGCATCGCTTCTCCTCACCTCCAATCACTTTACTTTTAATCGTTTCGAATCACTTCGAATGTCTAAATCTCATCATGTTTTCCTTTCATCTGCAACTACTTTGCTCTTTCACATCTTCCCATCCTCTTGCATGTAGCATGTAGCCCATTCAACTTACACCTTTCATCTCTTTTCAAGTCGTTTCACAGGTGCTCGTCCCTTGAAACCCGTCGCCCAGCGGCGCAGTTGGTGACCATCCTTTGGGTCCACCATTTGCACCGCGGCCGTCAGTTGTACCACTTGAGAAGTTGCCAGATCTTCCAACGCTCCTGGCATGGGGCACTGTAGGGGATCAACGGGTTGGCCCCAGGATGGCACCAAAAACTGGCCAATTGGCATCCCCTGAAGTATGGACACGGCGCATCTGTACCCACGTGGCTATTTTGAATAGGACTGATGGCATTTTTGCAAGGTGTGGGATTGAAAACTTTGTGGGTTCAAATAGTTAAAATTATGTAGCCTGTAGCCTCTTCAAATTTGCTGGCCAATACTGGTCAAAACTTCAAACACAGTATGTTGCCAACTGACCCGTACGAAGTAAAGGGGCAACTGATACGGCGGAGCCGACGATGAGCGTCTGCTCTAAAAATCGTCGATTGATCATCATTCCAAAGAATGCTTCTTTTGCCAGGGCCTCTCTAAGGTTTGCCCTGACCGTGCCCATGCTCATTCACGGGCTAAGCAGGCTTGGAAACTAAAAAGTGGATGAAATGACCAAAAGCGGATGCTGCCCATGAATTTCATCAGGATGGGCTCCCCGGCTCCCCATTTTGTTGGGATATTCACCATCCAAACAGCAGCTCCACTCCAGCACCGCCTGAAACGACTTTTCCAGGAGGTCTAGGAAGGGTTCGCCGGACACCACCCCGCACTCCTCATGCCTGGCACTGATTCCCTTAAGCGGTCCCTGGGAGTGGAAGTGGTACCCCAACATAACTATGGAGAATCACCACGTATAAATGAATTACAATGTACTGGATATAAATTGGCCATCTAGGATTCACCCATTCTAGGCAATTCATCTACAAATGGGCAATTTACCATCGCTCTGTCAAATTACCAGAGGTTTACAACACTAGGGGCCAGCGGCCAGCTAGGGGCCAAAGAGTGCAGGTAGAAACTCCACTTCTGAATGCTTGTGGTATTGCAGCTATTGATGTCAAGGATGGCTACAAATAGCAGACGCCGCTTGGGGAAATAATTGAAATAATGCACTATCATTGAATCATTAACTATCATTGATCATCTATAGAATCTATCCCTTTTGGTTGTCACATGGAGGTCATGGAGGGAACCTTCTATTGGTCAACCAACTCATGGAAAAAGTACATCTGTGGCATCTATGGCCCTGCATCAGCCTCATGAAGAGCCCAGAGATCTCGCTCAACCTGAGAACGGCAGAGGCATCGGACAAATCCCCACCAGCCGCAGAAAGCGGCACCACTTGCAGAAGGACATCGCAACAGCCCTACAAACAGCTCCAACAACTGGTGCCTCCCAACAATGCGGAATGTGTTTCATTGGTCAATTGTGTATACTGTATATGTATCTTTGTAGTCATGTATATATGACTTATGTATTAGTTCATGTTGGTTTTAGATTCATTTGTCACAATGTGGTAGTTACCCATTTTTTCCTCACCATCCAAATGCCAAGACGCAGCTCCTCCATATGTCCTGGATCTGAATCCGTTGGATCCACTTCCACCTGCCATGGAAATCCCCTGGGAATCTCAGAAAAAAAAAAGAAAAAAAAACTGCGAGTGGAAATCGATTAAAGGGATACCGTATATGTGCGTGTGTAAATATATGTATGTGTATAAATAAATATATATATATATTTATTTATTTATTTATTTATTTATTTACTTATTTATTTATTTATTTATGTATTTATATATTTATTTATTTATTTATCTATTTGTTTATTTATTTAGTTATCTATTTATTTAATGTGTGTGTCTGCATGCATGCATGGATGGATGTATGGGTGTATGTAGGTATGTACGTACGTACGTATGTATGTATAGATAGCTAAATCTGCTGGAAATCACCATGTTTTTGGCGATGGAGATCCTCATGTTCAATGGGGAAATCACCTGCAAACCAGAACGATTTCTTCCACCTGCAATGAGTTGAGCAGCTGCTCCGCATCAGAGACCTCAGGTCTCATCCCACCAGGCCATCCGAGCCAGGAAAATCCATGACAATCAAATACACAAATATGTTGATATACGGGTTAACCAGTTGATGATATGCGTCATTGCAGTTGCAGCAGTTGATGAAATAAACTGGTTTAACTGGGAAATCCAGCAAAAATGATTGTTTTACCAACTTAAAATGATTGAAATAACATGAAATGACCGACCAAAAGATATCTTTGATTGAATTGATTGTCAGGAGATCTGATCCTGATTCGGAATCAAACATGGAGAATGATTCACGAATTTTTCTGAGAACGTCAAATGCCCATGGACCGTCATTAGTAGGGATGAAACGCCAGGCTTCTGTGAGTAGGTGTGCATGAACAAGTTTACAGTGTTTGCTCCAGACAGGGTGTGTCTCAAAGGCATCCCCATTTTGAGAGAATTTTGTGTGTCAAACTTTTTGAGGCGAATTAATTGTGGGTCCAAAACTTTGGCACCTCAGCAATTTCGTTGTTTTTCGTGGGCTGCAAAAAGTCTGTATGTAACCATATCCGAACAGCATGGGATATTCGTGCACCTTCCGAGAAAATAATCCAAAAGCCTGCCTGGGCCACCGATTGATACTGCCGCTGCTCTTTTTTCTTCCGGTCCGCAGGCGCGCTATTCACGAAATACTAGTGGGAGTGGCTTCAAGAGCACTGACATCCAAAAGAAAGGATCGCAACCCGCCATTATAATATAGCATGCATATATATATACACACACACATAACCATACATCGTCTTTTTTGGACATCTAATTATGGGTCCCTGCTTTTGTTCAGAAAGTAGACCTACGTAATCCTACGTAGTAGGGCATGAATGGAAAACGAAGATCTTTCCAACTAAGAGTAGGGGGCCCAATTTTGACCCAATTCCTTTTTCCATACCAAGCCGAATTTGATGTCCAAGTTTGCAACCTCCCAGATTTTCTGGTGAGCTTGGGCTTATCCCTGCCACGGGGCAGTGTCATCATGCGTGCACTTCGGCCGCGCATGACCAACAGGGTGCTCCAACAAAGCATCAAAACAGCTGAAGAATTGGAAGTGGCGGATATCCACCATGAACCCCCAAGAAGATGAATCCAACCTCTGTCACAAAATTTTCGTGAAATGCACTTCCAGTCACTTTCATGAATGTATCATTAAGAATGAATGCATCCAGTGGACCTTCGACCTTGGAAAGCCCTCCGAGAAGCTTTCACCTTCAACGCGGCGATCCGCTCAGTGTCTTCTCATAACTGCCTGGAGAGCAACCCCGCCAGGGCCCCAGCAGGGAGGATATTGGGGGAAACCCTACACCAAACTCACCAAACCAATGGGCCATGTTTGATTTGGGGCTTTGCCGCAAAAATGCGGAAGGATGTTGTGTTCCTAAACCTGCTGCATAGGACTGCGAAATCTTTTCAGCTTAGCCAGCTTGCGTTGTGATGAATTGAACAAGCAGTGCAGGTATAATTTTGTATAGCTCAGCCCCACGCCTGCCTGGCAGGGGAAACAAGACAGCACTCTCCGTTCTTCTGAAGTTTCTGACGGAGATGTTTCAGAAGCTTCGCTGGCTTCGGTGGTCGGGTGTGGCCTCGGCAAAGGTCTGGTGCCAGGGTGACTGCCCAACTGCCCCCGCATGAAAGTTGTCCATCAGTGAATGAGGCCGTGAAGGTGTTTGAATTAGTTCTGACGTATTTCACCAGGCGTTTCAAGTGCAACTAGCCAGAGGTTCTTGCAAGGTTTGTCGTTTTCAGTCATTTCATGTGTATTGTTTTCTTGGTTGTTTTTTCTTTGTTTTTTTGCCAGATACGATTTTTGTATGTATATAGTTATGCCATAGAACAGTTTTTGTCTTGTCGAGTCACATGGCATCCTCAGCTAATACTATACCAGCCCTTGGTATGAGTCAGCAAGGCCAAGGGGATATTTCAACTTTGGGGTCGGTTTTCTTTGTTGGGATGCCCATCGTCATTGAGGATCTGAACAGTTTTCGGTGGTTCGGTACCACGCGTTTACCGCTCTCAGGGCCCGGCAAATCCGCCAGGATTGAGATCAACTCCGCCATGAGGTCCTTGGCAAATCCGTCAACTATCACCAAGATGGATCGTAAAAATGGTTTTTCTATCAGTCTGATTCAGTTATGCTGTTATGCTATATAAATCGATGTTGGTGGAAAATTTACATAAATTGACCGGGCCCTTTTCCACTGTAGACGTGTTTTTCTTTCTTGGGAATGAACGAGCCTCTTTTTGGGGAATCCATCGCGTGCCCATCCTACAGCTCAGTCAAAGGCACTCGTGCCCAGTTCTGTTCCAAGTGCAAAGGATTTCCGGCCACAGGTTGCCACCAGGCCATATGGGACCCGTGGCTGCAATGGATCACCGCACAATCGGACACCAACCTCGGGGGTCGCTGGGAACATGGTTAACACTCGCAGTGACTCCAGGAATGCTATTGATATTGGAATTTTCCCTGGCAGTTTTCTGAGCTGTGAGCACAAGGGTGGAATTCCGCGTCTTAGGTCCCATTAAAGAATGAAAATGCGGATATGCCACACCGCTAAGCCCTCTGACATGGCCACGTACCAGTAAAAATAAATTCATAGCAACCGCCAAGAAGATGGAAGATAAGTTTATATATCACAATTTTCAAGTTGTTTTGGTAGGGTTTTACTTGCCCATATTTTTGGTGATTGCTATGCATGTTCACTTCACTTTCTTAACGTTGGGGTGACAGTCAGCCCACCAGTAAGTGTGGAAACCCATCTCAAATGGCTGCATGGTTTGAGCTAAACTTGAAGGAAAACACAAGCATTTTTTGAAACCTACCCGCGAAGAAAACCAACAGGGTCACTCATACATACCCACTTACAGCATGCATACGCACACATATACATACATACATACATACATACATACATACATACATACATACATACATACATACATACATACATACATATATATATATGTGTGTGTGTGCCTACAATAGAAACAATATAGATGTGTGTGTGTGTGTGCGCGTGGGTGCGTATTTGCTATGTACCTATGTACGTTCATACATATACATATACATATACATATACATATACATATACATATGCATATACATTTACATGCACATATACATATACATGTGCATATACGTATACATATACATATGCTTATACATAAACGTGTGCCTATACGTATACGTATACATACACATACATACTGCAAAGATGGCAACGGCTGCCGCACCCGGGGCTTTTCCATTTGAGACAATAAGCCTACAGTCGGTTGATGTACCTGTACATGACATGTATGAAATGGCCAATTGCAGGGTGTATGTTACAGAACAGCTTTACACCCTGCCTTTTACGCCGCACATTCCCTTTGGAAGTGCAAGTAAATTTCTAAGCTGCTTTGTCGTATTCATCTTCGAAGTGTGGATCCTTGCTCTCTTTTGGCAAGGGGTCTCTGCCTTTTCCACCACTTTCCTGATCCACTCGACGCTGATGACTTTGCTGCTGGAATAGTTGGTCTTCATGTTGAAGGCGTTGGCTCCTCTGGGCAAACAACAGGATCTTCCACCGGCTCCATTGCGCTTTCTCCTCCTTCAGCTGGGGCCCCATGGTCAATCACCTCTGACATTGAGTCCTCCTCCTCAGTCTCAGTCTGAGCACGCTTGTAGTCCTCGTCAGTGATGTAGCCCCAACCATAGTGCACCGCCATCCATTCATCTGGCATGTCGCTTTTCTCCAGGCTCTCACCCGGCATGACCCTGCCAGCTTCATAGTGCATCAGATAGCGTCTTTTGCCACTCCATACCAGCTCGCTCATTCAAAAACGACGTAGATACCCAAGCCTCTTCGCCACGTAGCGCTCCACACCAACAGCGTCTCCCGAGCATTGCCAGCGGTATTCATCGTACTCATCTTCACCCATGTTCTTGTAGAGCTCCTCGTCCTCGCACGCAATGGCCACAGATGCATAGTCAGTCTCAAAGCCATCATCCTCATCCTCCGGTTCTTCTGCTTCCACCTCCACAATCTCCATGTCATCAGATGCAGCGTCAGGTAGATGTTCAGCGCCGCAGCCACCATCCAAGTCACCCAGCCTCATAGCCGTCCTCATCAACCTCCACTTCCACATCTTCTTCCTCTGGGTCTGACTCTTTTGCTTCTCCACTTTCTCCACATTCTGCTTTGACCTCCTCTGAAGTCACCATCCTCACATAGTGCGCCTCCCTCTCGAAGCTTCTTCAAGCTGGAGTTCTCCGTGAACTTCTCCCCATCAATCTCGATCTCAGCGAACTGGCCCTTCTTGTCCCACCAAAGGCACCGGATCACCTTCAGCTGCTTCATGTTGTGGGCCCATGTTGAGGTCCTCATCATCGTCAACCTCATAAACTCCATCCTCCAAAGTTCTACCATGCCACCCAAAGCCTCGTGCTTGCTTTTGCTCTTCTGAAGGCTCAGGGTCTCGAGGTCGAAGAAAGGGATCGTCAGCACCTGTGTTGATGGTGCCCAAATACTGCACATCCTCAATCTCCCTTGCAAAGAAGCTCACCACAGTTGTTGGACCATCAGCACATTCTGGGATCTCATCCTCATTGGCCTTGCGCTCTGCCATCCCAACCACATTAAGGTCCCGAAGTAGGCTGGGGAACCACGATCTCTTCGCAAACAAACTTTCCATTCTTCATCCCCGTCACCGTAGGTCATGTCATAGACCTCCTCAGCTGTCACTGCTTTGATTGCCTGCTCTGCATCAGGCTCCTCCTCAGAGTCCAGGTCAATGATCTGGATTCTTCTCACCGTCGAAGTTGCCGCTGTTGAACTCTGACCACCTCCAGAAACCCCACTCCCACTGACAGAAGATCCTGCAGTGGGTGCTTCAGCACCCTGGGACTTGACAGGGCATTCACGGCTCCAATGTCCACGTTGGCCACGTAGCTTGCACGCATCATAGGCCCTTTCCATTGTTCTTGCCATAGCCCTTGGGGTTCTTGCCCTTGTTGTTGCAGTCAAAGTTCTGCCCTTTCGATTTTCCATCACCTTTGCCCTTTCCTTTGCTTTTACCATCTTTTCCAAAGCTCTTACCTTTGCCACCTTTCTTGCCCTTCCCTTTGGGAAAGCCTTTCACTCGATCCACCTCCATCGGAACTGCCTCATCGTGCTGGTGCTTGTCCTTGATGTCCATCTCTCTGTAGACCGTGGCTGAATTCCAGCTTGTAGTGGTGCGCTCATAGTTGATGACCTTCTCCCTCATAGTTGCATATGTTGCAAATGCTGTCTCAACGCCGGGGTCACCACCTGCAGCAAGACGCTCAGCTTGGTGTTGTCGCTGATCTCTTCTCCAGCCACACTATGGTACTCCTCAGCCAAGCGCTCAAGGCCCAACACTTGCTCGGTCACCGTCTTCTCGCTGTTGAAGGGTGGATGGCTCAGAAACGCCTGCAAAAGCGCTATGCTCATTGCCCTTGTTCTCGGTGCCATCTGTCTATTGAGCGCTCTCCAGGCCTCCAATCCATTCCCTTCCTCAACCGACCTAAGGATCTTCAAGGTGCGTCCGCGAAGAAGACCAACCAAGATGCTATGAAGTCGTTCAGCTCCTGCATGTTGCTCCAAAGTCATGTCGATGAAGTCAATTGCAGTGGTCCTCTTTTCAACGTTGTCCAGGTCAGTGCGGTAGTCCTCCTGGGCATCGAACAACCATGACCTGAAACCCAAACGCCAGCCTTGCCACTGCGTCAGCTCTTCCTGTCGGTTCTTTGGGTAAAACATCTCGGGCTGCTTTACCACCTTTCCAGCATCACCAAATCTATCTCGTTTCTCCTCCTTGCACATCTTGTCCTTCAGCACCTTGGCAAGGACCAACATTGCTGCAGCCTGGTCATTGGCTGATTGCAGGAGGCCCCTCATCTGCTCCTCATCCGTGGCTACACTTCTCGATATGTGCCCTCACCCGAATTCTGGGATCACAAGGCTCCGCTACCATGCAAAGATGGCAGCGGGTGCCGCGCCCGGGGCTTTTCCACTTGAGGCAATAAGCCTACAGTCGGCTGATGTACCTGTACATGACATGTATGAAATGGCCAATTGCAGGGGCTGTATGATGCAGAACAGCTTTACACATACACACAGACATGTACATATACATATTATACATATACATCCCGGCGGAACTGTTACTTTTCGCATTGTCGTGTCAAAATCTTATTCTCGCCTCAGCCGAGCATCAATTTTTAGTTGAAAAATGAGGTCTCTGACCCAGGGTCTGAAATTTTTGTGTCGACATCCCTTCCACCATTGTTTTCTCTTCTCGGACGCCGAAGTGCTATGCGGTCATTTTATCAAATCATATCAAATCTGTTTGAAACACCTGGCAGTGACTTCAACAAATCATGTGGGTTTTCCCACCTCCATTGAAAGGAGCGCACATAATGAAAGATCTTCTTATTCACTCTGGTTCCTTTGGTGTTGACCAAGTTGTTGGGAATAGAATTAATTTCCACCAATTGTCAATTCCACCTGTGTGGACTGACAGTGTACCTTTGGCCCACCTTGCTGTTGCGACAGAAGATCCTCTTAGAATGGTTACACTGGCGCAAGAGTAAAGAATTATGTTACATCCTTAACAATAAAACACATCATGCGACATCCATAATAGTTATTAATGTAAGTCATGATGCATGATTGGATTTTAAAAGACTTTAGCTAGAAACAACTATAAACTACAACTGTGGTACATAACGTAGCGTGCAAGCTGGTGACGTGCCGTGCAAAAAGAAAACTATGACGTAGCACGCAAGATGGTGTGCTACAAAGTCAAAAACGGTAGTTACTAGCCCCACCCCACCCCACCCCATCTGGGCACAACGCAACATCATGTCAATGTGCAGAAAATGCGCCTTTTGTGGGACTGTAAAAATTCTATCAGCATATATATTTACATATGCATGTATATATATATATATATTTATTTATTTACACATATACATATACATATACATACACATATACATATACATATAGGGCGAAGGCTGGGGGTTCCCCGGAAGCCAATTGCAATTTATTTGTATAGATCTGCAAAAAGGGTAGGAAATTGTTTGGGGTTTTTTTTTTAGTTTGGGGAATTTTGTTTGGATTTCCGGTTCTCACCATTTTCCATGCTATTTGCAGCATTTTGGAGCTGGAAACTGCCATTTCCACGGTATGTGCAACGGTTTTGAGTTCGAACCTCTCATTTTCCATTGTATTTTCCACGGTATTTGCAACAGTATGAGCATGTTCTGTCCATTTTCCATGCTCTTTGCAGCATTTTTGAGCTGGAATCTGCATTTCCACCGTATGTGCAACATTTTACAGCTACATTCCTCACAGTACTTGCAGGATTTTGGAGCTGAAGGCTGACATTCCAACAGTTGTTTGTTGTTACTGTTGTTGGTGTTGGTGTTGGTGTTGTTGTTGTTGGTGGTGTTGTTGTTGGTGGTGGTGGTGGTCGTGTTGTTGCTGTTGTTGTTGCTGTTGTTAGTGTTAATGTTAGTGTTGTTAGTGTTGTTAGTGTTGTTAGTGTTGTGTTAGTGTTGTGTTAGTGTTGTGTTAGTGTTGTGTTAGTGTTGTGTTAGTGTTGTTGTTGTTGTTGGTGGTGGTGGTGGTGGTGTTGTTGTTGTTGGTGGTGGTGGTGGTGTTGGTGTTGTTGTTGTTGTTGTTGGTGGTGGTGTTGTTGTTGTTGTTGGTGGTGGTGGTGGTGTTGGTGGTGGTGGTGGTGTTGGTGTTGGTGTTGTTGCTGGCGGTTGTGTTTGTGTTGATAGTGTTATTATTGTTGTTGTTGTCGTTGTTGTTGTCGTTGTCGTTGTCGTTGTCGTTGTCGTTGTCGTTGTCATTGTCGTTGTCGTTGTCGTTGTCGTTGTCGTTGTCGTTGTCGTTGTCGTTGTCGTTGTCGTTGTTGTTGTTGTTGTTGTTGTTGTTGTTGTTGTTGTTGTTTAGTGGTGTTGTTGTTGTTGTTGCTGTTGTTAGTGTTGTTGTTGTTACCGTTAGTGTTGTTAGTGTTGCTAGTGTTAGTGTTGTTAGTGTTGTTAGTGTTGTTAGTGTTGTTAGTGTTGTTAGTGTTGTTAGTGTTGTTGGTGGTGGTGGTTGGTGGTGGTGTGTTGGTGGTGGTGGGGTTGTTGCTGGCGGTTGTGTTTGTGTGATAGTGTTGTTTTTGTCGTTTGTTGTCGGTGTTGTTGTTGTTGTTGTTGTTGTTGCTGTTGTTGTTGTTGTTGGTGGTGGTGGGTTGTGGTTGTTGTTGTTGTTGTTGCGTTAAGTGGGTGTTGTTGTTGTTGTGGGATGTTGTTAGTGTTGTTGTTGTTACAGGGCTAGTGTTGTTAGTGTTGTTAGTGTTGATAGAGTTGGTGTTGTTGTTGTTGTTGTTGTTGGTTTAGTGGTGTTGTTGTTGTTGCTGTTGTTAGTGTTGTTGTTGTTACCGTTAGTGTTGTTAGTGTTGTTAGTGTTGCTAGTGTTAGTGTTGTTAGTGTTGTTAGTGTTGTAGTGTTGTTAGTGTTGTTAGTGTTGTTAGTGTTGTTAGTGTTGTTAGTGTTGTTAGTGTTGTTAGTGTTGTGTTAGTGTTGTTGTTGTTGTTGGTGGTGGTGGTGGTGGTGTTGGTGGTGGTGGTGGTGGTGCGAATGTCATACACCTCTTTCGATGCGTATTCATTGTTTGGTCGCTGGCGGACTCTCAGCCAATCACTAATCACTTGCTACAAGCTACAAGCAAATGTTGCCCCAACAAAACATCGAAACAAACTTGCTTTTAGCAAAGTCTTCAAGTCTATTTGACTTCACGTGATACTATATCAAATCATACCCACGTGCGTGAGCAAAGCGACAGCCATCTAAGTATGACACTTGGATCTAGAGATTTGCTTGTTTTCAGCGTGCCATCAATCCCTTTGAGCGCTCCTCCGAACACCTCAAAACTCTTTACAACCTCCTCCAAGACAGTAAGCTGAACTTGCTTGATGATGCTGTAAACTCATCCTGTGCCATTCAGCTTGCATTGCCAGCTTGGAATAATTTTCTCCGAGTTTTTCAAGTGATTTCAGAGATTTGTGAAAGTGTCTTTTGCTGCAAAGCATGTGACACGTTTTGTGCGATTTGAGCAAGTCGTATGCAGTTTAGAGCTTGATTTCCAACTTTCCTGACAGCGCGTTCAGATTTCGAACGCGGAACAGTGATTTCAATTTTGGAGAAACTTTTAGACGTGCGAAAGAGGAATTTATAATCAGCTGCGGTACAGCTTATGAGTTTGAAGCTTCTCAGAAATCGTTTTGCGACGTTTCCACGGTTGAGATTTTTTTGAACATCCTGATGATCTCCTATTGTCTTGCGTTTCCTGGGTCCAAGCAATCTGTGAGATCGAAGTTTTTGAACCGCTTTTGATCACATTTCCAATTTGAGAGCCGTGCAAATTTGCAAGAGTTTTTTTCCGAACTAGAGTAAGCAGACATGACGTCTGAACCGAATGTGAGTTTGGAAACAATTAGAGAATTTGACCGCAACCAAGCTTTCAGCTCTCCCTGTTGCCACAGCATTGTGAACATGCTCAGCCGCATCGTGCTTCCTTTGATCAATGAGATCAGCATTCCGCCAACAACATGTTGGCTCAAGATTAGGAGGCGTAAATTCTGCTAGCACAGTGAGACAAAAAGGGCGTGAGCTGTCAAGCAGAGTTGTCCACATTCTCAGTTGCAATTATCTACTCTTCTGGGGTGATAATTCTCGCATGGTAGCGAGAGCCAGTGTGCTCCTAGGAACCCCCCTGAATTGGTTTTCTCCTAGGATTTTCCAGGGTTCAGGATTGACAACAGACAACTGATCTTGACAAGAGATCTTGGAACCTACACCTAGCAGAATCTGATTTTGCAGCCATGGAGCAGCCGGCCAGAGACAGGTCACCAAGAGGCCGTTCTCAAACGAGAAGAGGAGTTTCTTTGCCTGCAACAACCGGATATGCCCCTGGAAGTGCAAACGCCTCCGTCCCCTTTGTCTTCGAGGAGCAACTCAGTCGAGTCCGAATGAGCATGGACACTTTACAAGCAGAAGTTGGCAAGGCAGTTCGAGAACTTGCAGGTCACCAGAAAACTCTTGTTGACACCCTTGAGCGTCAGCAGCATGAGCTGAATGATTTACGAGCCCAAAGAGTTCCAATCCCTCCAAGTGCTTCTCAGTCAGTGGCGGCTGCCAATGAGGATCGCTTCGGTGCCATGGGAGAAACCAGTCCTTTTACTTCTGGACAAGACCCGCCCATCCAATTGCCAGTGAATGCTCAGCAAGGTGCAGGTGGACTTGCATCGGCGATGACAAATACTGCAGTGAATGCGAGCTCAAGCACTGGACATGGGGTAAAAATTGTCTTACCCGATGGTACGGAGATCCCCTTGGGCGGACAGTCAAATGCCGGCGGTCCTAAAGTTCCTGGATCCACACAGCTAGATGCGCTGCAGAGAAGCGACAAGTGGCTGCCTAGCATGCCTGTGGTCGAGTCGAATCGGTGGAAAAGCCGAATGGAGGAGATTTTGGGCATGGAACAGTGGCTCGATTCATTTTGCAATTGGCTATCTTTGATTTCAGAGCCATTTTGCACAGAAGTGAAGTTTTCTGCGACTTCTCCGCTGCCAATTGACAAGAAAGATGTCAACTGACCAGATTTCCCGAAGCTCCAGGCTCATGGCAATGCTTCGCCAGACCTTCCAGATGACTCCGCGAGCCAAAATCATTCTGCTTGCTTATGTAGAAGGCCCTGGAGATAAGAACGGGTATGAGGCTTTGCGAAGGATTGTCCAAGAATACATGATCAAGACTCGTGCTGAGTTGATGCATTTCCGCACATCTTTGCTTGGCCGAACTTTCAAAGCTCAAACAGTGACAGAGGTAATCAAGCAA